CCCCCCAGAGCCATGGCCAAGGCGGGCGGCCCGGCGCCCGGCCCGTCGCTGCCCGCGGCCACGGTGCGCGAGGAGCTGCTGTGCCCCATCTGCTACGAGCCCTTCCGCGACGCCGTCACGCTGCGCTGCGGCCACAACTTCTGCCGCGGCTGCGTGAGCCGCTCGTGGGAGGACGCGGCGCGCCACGCCTGCCCCGTGTGCAAGGCGGCCTGCGCGCCCGAGGACCTGCGCACCAACCACACGCTGGCCAACCTCGTGGAGATGTGCCTGCGGCAGGAGCAGCAGCCGCGCCCGGCGGAGGCGGGGGCCGCCGCCTGCCCCCTGCACGGCGAGGAGGTCAAGCTCTTCTGCCTGGAGGACAAGGAGCTGGTCTGCTTCGCGTGCCAGAGCGCCCGGCCGCACGCGGGCCACCGGCTGAAGCCCGTGGCCGAGATGGCCGAGAACTACCGGGTAGGTGCCTCGCGGGACGGGACGGGGCGGACGGGGCGGGGGGCCGGCTTGGCTCGCAGCGCCGCTGCGTGGCGGAGGGGCCGCATCCTGGCTTGCGGGAGGGAGAGCATGCGCGCGTAGGATGAACTACCGCTGAGCCGGAAGGTCGGATCAGCCGCACGGGCCGCTGCGCTGCTTGTGCGCAGGCCGCTCCCCTTGGCCGTCCTCGGGATTGCGTCGCGGCGCTAGCCTTGCGTCCCTCCGGCCCCGGGCGGACCGCGTGTCTTGGGCCACCTGGCCGCCCTTCCGTCTCGCTGCAAGGATGGGCCCTGCCGCACAGTGGGTCTTCTTCCTGCCACGCTTCCTTCCCTGGTGGGCGGTGTGGATCCCCATGGCGAATGGGGGTGTGGTCTGGGTGGGAGCAGAGCTTGGGAATGGTTGAAGACCAGATGGCTGCCGAGGCCCAAGCGCTGACTGGGGCCCAGCTCCTTCTTTTGCCTTGCCCGGCGGACCAGAGGGCTGGACGGAGAGAGCCTCAGGAACTGCCGAGGTATCAGAAACGGGCTAGTCCTTTGGGCAGTGCTTGAGGTAGTCTCCGGCCCACCCTGATCCTCCACGCTGCACACCAGTTTCTCAGTTTGCCTGCATCGCCAGGTCGATCATGAAATTTCATCAAATGGCAGGTGACGGAAGGAAATGTTCCTCTCGGTCATGTTCAGAGCCCTGGTGCCCGGTGTAAAGACGGCCTGCTTGGCGGCTTTGCTAGATGCGCTTGCACTTCTTCACCCAGCCTGACCATTAATCCCAGAACGGCGAAAATGGCCGTTCTGCCCAGCCCCGACTGCTCCTGAAAGCTCAGAGAGCGGCAGGGACGGGTGGAGGTTAATTGGGCTACACCTTGAATAGGCAGGTGAGAAAAGAGCTTTGTGCCATCTCCTTAACTCCGGCAGGTGAGGCACACCTGTTTGCCTCTGGCCCCGAGGCGCTCAGCATGGGCTCTTCCGGGTTTTCGGAAATGGCCAGTGGGCCGGTTGTGCTTGCGTAGTGAATAGCACCTTGTTGCAGAGTTCTGGCTATCGCAGACTGATCGGAGCTTGCAAAGCGGGCAGGAGAATAGAGGGGGCATGTACCCTTTGGAGGTGGTACGTAAAACCAGCGCTGTCAGGAGCGCCCTGAAGGCCGGTGCAAGCCAGGCCCCTTTCTAGAACCTTCCCGTTCTCCTACAGCATCTTTCTATGGGCTTTCTCTGCAAAGACGCTCCAGTGAGGGAGAACAGCAAGCACGCCCCATCTCTGCAGAGCCGTCCCATGCTTCTGCCCCAGCATTTCTAGTTGGAGCTTGAGTGGAAGGTCTCAGGACCACAGCCAGGCAGAAGAGCCCATGCTGAGCAGGAAGGGCCCGATCCCCCGGGTTGGTGGAAGGACCCTTTGGCTATTGAGTGGTATGCAGATCGAATAAGGTGTGCTTATGTGTTCGCTAGCATATTTGCAAAAGCACAGTGGGATTAAACCTTCGTCCCTGCAGGCAACATACATTTTTAAAAGTTGCAAAAATAATTACACTATATTTATATTGTTATTTTATATTGTTTTATTGAATTCTATTTATTTATGGTTTGTGAGCCGCCCCGAGGCTTCAGCGAATGGGGCGGCATAGAAGTCCCTCAAATAAATAAATAATATTTTTAAAAATATAGATGGAACTTCTGAGTTTGCAGAGCAGAGGCGATCCTACTGGTTTGCAACCCTAATTTGGGGTACCCCGTCTCCTTCCGCCCAGGGACGGCATTCCATTCCAGAGAAGCTCTCGGGGGCTACAATTTTTAATTGCATTCTTACTGCATTTTGCCTGTTGCTGTGAACTGCCAAGAGAGCTCCGGCTATTGGGTGTTTCAGAAATATGAATAATAATTCCAGTGATGGGAGGGGCTGAAGGCAAATGGATGTGGCCCAAAATTTTGAAAATACCGGCCTATGTTAGCTTAAACCTCTTGCTGCCAGTGGCTAAACTAGGAAAGGCATTTTATCCTTCCAGTGGGGTCCTCCCGCCACCATAACTGGTCGTTGACAAAACAGAGGCCATTATCTAATGAAATCAGGCATGTGCTTTTTCAAACCTTGGCAGCAAGAGAATTCATATTTAAACACCCAAGTCATAAAAGCAGCAACAGCTGTTGCCAGCTTAAACTATCACAGAGCCCCAAACCTCTCCTTTTATCTGGCAGGCTAGTTTACAAAATAAAAAATAAAATCAAATTCCAAATACATGTTAAAATCCACAATAAAATACTAAAATGGTGTTTGCGTGGAAAGAGTGACTACATCCTTTGATTTCTAGCAAACCAGATTTGTTGCAGCTTTCCTATTTTTTTATTTTTATTTTTTAAATAGGGCTGCTTGAAATACCAGCAGCGTTGCTCACTTTTTCGCTTAGTGAACGGACCAGAGTGTCCGGCTGTTCTGGGGAGGCTCTCCTGAAACTTTTTGCAGACTGTAGAAAATAAGCCGGACATAATCGATGACTGGAACGTCCCCTGCCTAGATCACCTCTCGGCTTGTCGATCTGCAGTGGTGCCGAGACAAAGAAGGGAAGGGGAGGCCCTGCAGAAAAGTTAGTGCCGCTCCAGAGTGAGGCCGCCTGGTTGATGCTGCGCGAGCTGCTTCTTGGTGTCTGGAAAAGTGCAGCGGAGCTTGAGCGGGGGCTTGGGAGCGAGGGAGGCGGGCGAGTGGAGGCCCCTGTGGGTGTCACGCTGCCCAGGCCGAGTTCCCGTCTGTTCCTGGCATCGCTTGAGTTGCTATGAGTCACTTAACCTCATGTCAGCTCTTGTTGCTGAGCTTGGGGTGATGTGAGTGGGGAGAGGATGTGATTCAGTCTGCAATCATGTGCGGGAGTTAGAATCAACAAGTCCAGGTGCAGGACCAGCCGTCTGACAAGCCGTGCCCAGACCCGTGCGATGGATCGGGCCCCCGAGAGCGGCAAGGAGTGGCCGGAGGGGTGGGCTCCTCTTGGCGGAGCCCCTTTCCGCTCTGCAGCCCAGCCCCTGCCTGCCTTCGGACGCCACTGCTGGGGACGGGAGGGCATGTTCCTGGCAGAAGAGGGTCACCTTCCCCTGTGTGACAAGACTGAGTGTGCTCAGATGGTTTTGAAAATGTTGAAGGAGAGAAAATGAACGTTTCGATAGAGGTGTTGATAGAGGTTCTCTCGCATGTACAATCCGTGGCCACCCTCTCCTAGAAATAGGATGGCAAGCACATCGTGTAAGAAGCTTAACGTTTATAAGCCATAAAGGGTCCCTCTGGCAGCGCCTTCTCCCACGTGTACCTGCCTGATTATTAACATAGAAACAGAGCGAGTCAGAAGAGACCTCCTGGGGCCATCTAGTCTGACCCCGGCTCCAGGCAGCTCCGCTCATGACATTAAGGTCTGGCTCAGAGGCCCTTCTTGAAGTGCCATCCCTGAAGGAGGTGAAGGGGGTGGCAAATGGAAGAAGGGCCTTCTCGGTAGTTGCCCCAGCTCTGGAATTGGCTCACCAGAGAAGTGTGCCTGGTGCCTTCATTGCAGTCATTTTGGCACTGGGCAAAACCAGTTCTCCAGGAATTTTAATAATTAACTGAACAGTATTGGATTGATTTTAATTTTAGCTTGCTTGATTGAATAAATTTATAATGGTAGTTTATCCTCTATCCCAGTTGAGGATAAATCCTGTTAAGGTGGCATGGCAGTTAGTAGTTTGTGTTTTTAATAGATTTTAAATTTTTTTAATAATACGCTATTGTTTTGCTGCCTGTATACCGCCCATAGAGTCCCGCTTGGGACTATCGGGTGTGGTTTAATAAAGGAAGCAAATAAATATTGTCCGATTCCCCCCCCCCCGCTCCCCCCACCTCACACTCCAGGCCAAGTGCAAGGACATGGAGAACTCCCTGCGGGACAAGATGAAAGAATTTGGAAGAATGCAGTCCGATTACAGACTCATTGCGAACCACAACAAGGTGAGCACCTTTCTCTGTGCTCCGAGGCTGCAATGCAGCGGGTCTACTCTAGAGCTCACCTGCACATTCTGCAGGGACCCAAAGGACACTTTCCCTCTGATATACCCTGTGTCCATGGATGGGGGAAGAAACATAGAAACAGCGCGAGTCAGAAGGGGCCTCCCGGGTCATCTAGTCTGACCCCCGGCTCCCGCCATAAGCATGTCCAGCCCATGAACACCCTCGCCGATGGGGCCTCAGCCTCCTCCCGTGGAAGCCCGTTCCACGCCCCGTTTCTGTATTCAAGCCTCCTACTGTGGAGGCACCTTAACCAGGTGGTTTTTCTCATTCCGGCTTTTCTGCTTGGCCTATGGTAGTCTGCGTTACAATCGTTACTCCGTATTTGGGGGCCTGTGAAATACTCCCCCCGCTTTCCCAGTGATGCTCCTGTGGTGGTGGGACAGTGTTTGCTGCCCCGGCTGCACAGCTCAGATGATCGGCCGGGCTGCAGGGGAAAGTGGGTGCTGGCTGCTTCCGGCTACACGTGGCCGTGCGTTATGTTCTCCTCCAGTGGGTCCCAGAAGTACCTGGAAGAATCTCATTTTGGGGAAGGGAGCTGGTCTTGATCACCTTCGGAAACTCGGAGTATCCTTCGGTAGAGAGCGAGGGCACATGCGCAAGCAGATTTCCCCTTGCGTTGGGAGTAGGCCAGAGGCGCCGAAGCCGGGCAGCCGGGGCACGTGCACCGCACGGATTGCCCCCCCAGGGCCCCAGCAGCGTTGGGGGCTGGGTTCCCCCTTTTGTTTCACGCTTCCAAAAGAAGGTCCGTCTCTTTGCAAAACAGCCCTTTCTTGCCAGTTCGCAGCTAGCAAGCGACTGCAACTCTGCACGAACCTAGTGATGGGACAACTTCTGAAGACCCTTTTCAGTAATGCCTCTCTGGGGGGGTCCCTCTGGACAAGGGCTAGCCTTTGAAGCCTATGGCTCCAACTCCCAGGGTCCCCCAACCAGCATACGCAATAGCTGAGGATGCTGGGAAACGGAGAAGTCTGAAGACTTGGAGAAGTCTGATCTGCAGAGTTGTGTTGTTGCATGAATCCTTGCAAACTGGGATCAGTTAGGTTGGCTTTGGCTTGGGAAGTGTTCTTTGCAATTCTCATCATCCCCAGCCGGCTAGGAACAGTAGGCTGCACACGCACGGCTTGAAGTGTTGGGGAAGGCTGGTTCAGGAGCTGAGAGCTTGTTCCGGAAAGGCTCTTTCACTCTCTCTCACCGTGCCCCAAATCTCTCTCTGCTTTTGATTCTGATGAGTCGGCTCCCGCTGGGATGAGGCAGGGTCGGCTTCCTGCCCTCGCTGTGTGCATCACCCGTGTTCCGTTTCCTCCTCTCTCGTTCACTCTTCCCTGCCTGCCCCTAACCAGGCAGAAAGTGCCAGGCTGGAGAAGGAGATTAAGAAACAGTTTGAACAACTCCACGAGTTTCTCCAGAATGAGGAGAGGAACATGCTGGAGGAGCTGCAGCAGGAGACACAGAACAAGCAGGAGCTGATTGAAGGCAAAATTAAAAAGCTGTCTGAAGAAAACGACGTCCTCTTGCAAGAAGTTGGCCAGCTGCAGGCAGACCTGAAAGACAACGACACCTCCTTCCTCAAGGTAGGAGCTCCTTCCTCCGAGCCACATGGGGAAACTGATGTGCGTGCTCCATGGGCAGCTTGCGCTGCGCTTGGCAGTGGTGAAAGGGAGTGATGCGGCCAGATTCTGACATGCAGCCCGTTCCCCAGCATTACAGACTATCGTGTGGGAGAGTAACATGCCCAGCACCTCTGGGGCAACCAGCCTGGCATGGTCTACGCACAATCCGCCTGCTCGTTTTAAATTTGTAAGCACTATCAGAATAATTAGTCTGTGTTCGGTGTGTCTGAGTATGGATTCTTAAGGATGTAGCTACCTTGCTGGATCAGGCCAAGATACACCTTGACTGAGAATCCAGGCAATTAGTAGTTTCTCTCTATGTTATGACCTACAGTTGTAGCAGAACTGTTTCTAGGCTGTTGGTCATTTTTGCTGCTGCTGCTATCAAAGAGCAATTTCTCAATCAAGCTTTCCTTCCCCTTTCCCTCCTTTCTTTTCTTCCAGAAACACAAAAACCGGAAGCGCAGGTAGGTGGTTGAATTTTCAGTTGCTGACGTATCCTGTAGTGAGGAAGGGCACTGGGGGTCTTGGCTCGTCGTTCCGATGCAAAACCCGTCCCCCCCCCCCCCGATTTGCATGCTGCCTTTCATACCCTGGGCGTGACCCGTCGTGCTCCTGGCCTGTCGTGTCGTCACGGAGAGGGCCAAGGCCCACTTCTGCTTTCTGCAGAGCACCAGCTGGGCCAGGTGCAGGACCTGTGCGACGCTTCTGCCGTGCCAGAGGTCCTTCTGGGCCTTTGCCCCTAGGGAGCATGGTCGTGCTGACCGTGGATCCAGGCTCAGCCCACTTTTCTCGCCCTGTTAGTCCTGTTGCAGGCGGGTGGGGAGTGGAGCCCGGCAGCTGTCAGAAAGCTGCATCTGGATAGAGAGAGTTCGTCCCTTGGCATCAGCCACATGCTTCACGTTTGGATTTGTCCCAACACAGGGCTCCCTTTCCTTGCGTGGGTGGGCTCGCTGTTTCTGCCCCTTTGTACGGAATGCAAAATGTACACTGGCCCGCCAGAGGCTTAACTTGCTCTTTGTTTTGCCCCGCACCTCCTTGCCTGCTTGGACTGCACTTCCCAGAATTGCCTGGACAATAGGACAGCCGGAAGCGATTCCGCCAGGGACTCTAGTGGAAGTCACCAAGTACTTGGATTCTTTGCAGTATAATGTGTGGAAGAAGATGCTGAATATCATCAAAGTAGGTAGGTCCCTGAGTGCGCCGGGCGAAGTGCGCTGAAGGGGCTGGGGGCTTCTTGCGGGGCAGTGCCGAAACTCCCATAATGCCCTTTCCAGACATGATGGCCCCCCACCATGAGGGGTGCATGCATGAAACCCCTGCAGTTCCCACCCTGCTTGTCCCAAGTGCTGCATTAAACAGCCAGCGCTCCTCTGGAACGAAGCACCTGCTTGCGTTCTGCACTCAAGAAATATGGATGAACGTGCTCTAGAGAGGGCCGGCTCGAGGAGGCAGCTGCAGACCCCCGGCTCCCCGGCTTGGCGCCTACCAGAGCAGCTTCCTCTCAGGAGCAGGGAGGCACCCTTGGCAGGGACGCCCTGCTCACAGAAAGCTGCTGCTGAGCCATCTCCCAGCCCACCTCTCCGTCCTTGAAATAAGGCAGCCGTGGTGGGGGAGCCTACGCGTTCCGTGGAGCCGCCCAAGCCCTTTGCTCCAAAGTGGGGGCCAGGAGGAGCGCCATGAGCTTGGCAGGGAGCCTCTCGGGACAGGGCAGCAGTGCGGAGGAGGCGGAGCACCCCTGCCACCCGTTCCGCAGCTCTGCTCACCCCCCGCACTGTTCTTCTGGGTGTGAGCCCTGGCTCAGGATTGCAGCAGAGACGGACAGCTGCAAGGCGCTGAACTTGGCCTGCAGTCACGGTTGTCGAAGGGGGTGGTCTCCTCCTCGCAGTAGGGTGTCCCCCCGGGATACCGCCTGGGGGGATGGGAGGAGGAAGCTTTTGTCGGGCTCATCGTGGCTGGTTGCCACTTCCTAGCAACACATCCTGGGAGCCCATGGTGGGCTGGCAAGGTGCGGAAACCCACCCAGCAGCTTCGGCAAGGTGGTTGCCTTCAGTCCATCCCCTGGGACACACTTAAACAAAACTTTGGAAACTTTAATAGTACAGTACATCACCAGGTAACAACCAGCAGCAGTACAGAGACTAAAAAATCAAAACAAGCTCAAAGAAGAAAACCAGGGAGAGTGCTTGCTTTGCTCGATGCCAAAGATAAATTGATAATGCAGGTGCTGGGAAAGCCTCTTTGGGAAGGCATTCCACAACTGAAAATCGGGGATGTTGTGAGTCACAGATTTCAGCCGCTGTGTGGTTCACTGCACCAGGGTGTCTCCTGTGCAGGGCAGCTTGTGAATGAAGTGTGGTCCGCGTTTCACGATGGCACGAGACCCAGCAGAGGCCTGCTCTCAGGCTGCAGCGAGGGCAGCTGGGTGGGCGTCACAGTGAAGGGACTAATGGAGCCCCCCACACTAAACGTGGTCTCAGCCGTTGGGCTTTGAGTTTGCTGTCGGCGGGGGAAACAGAACGAAGAACCTGCAAGGTGCCAGGAGACGTGGGCCGGCACGCTTGCAGAATTCGGCCGGGGGGTGCCCCTCTGTGAAGAAGGTTCCTTTAGGCTCCACTCCTAATTGACACCCTGGTGCCGTGAGCGCTTGATGGCGATGGAGCTCCAGGAGCGACTTAGTGGGACAAGCAGGGGGCTCTTGTAGCCGCCAGGGGGAAGCAGCGTGCAGCTGACCCTGGAGATGCATTGCATGGTGCGGACCAGCATCCTTCACACCATCCTGTTCATGGGAACACTTGATCCTTACTGTGCACTCGAGGATAACTTTGCATATTAATGCCAGGCGAGCATATATTTTTCATTTTATCCTGCAGACTGAGTTTTTAACTATATTGTTGTTGTTAGTCGCGAAGTTGCGTCTGACCCATCGCAACCCCATGGACAACACTCCTCCAGGCCCTCCTGTCCTCCACCATCCCCCAGAGTCCACCCAAGCCCACTTCCGCTGGCCCAGTGACTCCATCCAGCCTCCTCATCCTCTGCCAGCCCCTCCTTCTTTTGCCATCTATTGTTCCCAGCATCAGGCTCTTCTCCAGGGAGTCCTTCCTCCTCGTTAGGTGGCCAAAGTATTGGAGCTTCATCTTCAGGATCTGGCCTTCTCAAGAGCAGTCAGGGTTGATCTCCTCTAGGATTTAGCTATATTAGCAGTCCGTTAAGGAACGTGGTTCCCAAACTGTTGAAGTGGAGAACCATTTTTGCCCCAGGGGCCGCCCTGGTAGGCCAGAAGCATGTTGGGTGGGGCCACAATCCAGAATGATTAGAGGAATCCTGCTCTTGCTCACCCCCTCCTCCCTCAGCCACATGCCTCTCTCCGCATGGGGGATCCCCAATTTTGGCTTGGGGCTTTCTTGGGCAAAGCCAGCGCTCTGCACTGGGCCTGGCAGCCAGCACAGCTGGTCCAGGGCATGGGGTCGCATGTCCAAATTGCCTGATTCCAACAGCTGGGTGGAGATCTTCTGCCCGTTGAATGTCCCAGGCGGCCTTCATGGGCAGTCCCACACAGAGCGCTTGACAGTAATCTAACCTGGATGTGACTTGTGAGTGGAAAATCAAGGCAGGGTCTGGTTCCTGTAGATAAGGTTGCAGGCAGTACTAAATTGGTGAAAAGCACTCCTGGCCAAGCAATGAAGTTGCTCTTTCAAACGTTGCGCAGCCCCATCCAAAGCTGATCTGTCCAGCTCAGCTTGCTATAACTAATTCTAGGCATGGGACAAGAATATCTCTTCCAAGGAAAGAAAGAAAACCTGAGCCAGGAGACAATGCTGTGGGAGACGGTGCTTTACCTTTCAGAATATAAGCATCATTTTGCCAGATCAGGGCTGAAACTTCTCTGAACGAGAATTTCCAGCTTACATTCGCAGGGTGGAGGAAACTGACTGTCAGCTCAGTTTTCCTTTTAATTTCGTTCCTGTGGGTGGGACAGTGAAAGGGGTGGAAGACGAGGACAGCACATACAAGGTCTGGTCGCATTAAAGGTGCTGCTCAAGCCCTGCTTCGCTAGCATCGGATATACTTCCTCTGTACGTGGGATTTTCACACTCTTGCTCTTTTACGCGTGCGGCAGGCCAGGGTAACGCCTGTAAAGTATAGCTGGCAGTGTCAAGCCGCCCTCTCCATTCAGGTCACCACGACTGATGATCATCTCTCTCTTTGGCAGTCCCGTTCAGCTTTGATCCCAACACCTCCGCAAGCTGGCTGGAAGTTTCGGACGACCTCACGAGCATTGTCACCTGTAACTACAAGCTGATGGTGGAAGTTCCGGAGCGCTTCTCGACTGGCATGCCTTGCGTCCTGGCCTCTAAAAGTTACTCTGAAGGGTCTCACACCTGGGAGGTGAATATCGGTGGCGCTGAGCATTGGTACATCGGCGTGGCCAAGAAGTCCTGCGGCTACTACTGGAGCTTTGGCTGCGACTCCCGTCTGGGGTTTGGATACATGTACCGCATGCAGGGCACAAAGAACAAGAAAAGCCAGTCCTCCCAGTCCATCGTGTCGGAGGGCGGGCGAAGGAAGAGCCTCAAGAGAGTGAGGGTGGAACTGGACTGCGATGAAGGCGAGCTGTCGTTCTATGATGCTGAGCGGAAGAGCCACATCTACACCTTCCACGACAAGTTTGGGGAAGTCTTTCCGTATTTCTGCATCTGCAACGCCGACGCTGCTAACTCCTCAGCTGAGCCGTTCAGACTCTGCCCTCTCCAGGTCCTGATCAAGACAGATTACCCAAACTGAGCAAACCTTGGTGCTTGTATTCCTCTTATCTGTTTATCTCTTGTTATGGACGCTTGCATACACTAGCTGACACCAAGGCAGTAAAAAGAACACGCTGGTTTAGTTGAGTGATATTCCATTATTTGGAATGTGCAGAGTTCTTGAGCATAGATGCACTTGCGAAGCTGGAGAAGGAGACGGTGGTGTGGGCTACGGTTTGGCACCGTGACTGTTGGTCTTGTGCATCGCTCAGGATTTTGTCCTGTCACCAGCGCTGTTTAAAATCTACAAGGAACTGCTGGGGGAGATGCTCCGGAGTGTGAAATGCTATCCATACCCTGATGCCATGCAGCTCTGTGGTGCCTTGTTTCCAGAGTCCAAGAAAGCTGTTGATACTCCAGAATGCTGTCTGAGTTCAGTACTGGACTGGATGAGGCTGAACATGCTGAAATTAAATGATGGTTGTTCGGAAGAAAGTGTGGCTCAGAGAGTGGGATCCAGCCTGTTTGGGGAGGGGTGAAGCCCCCTTTGAGAAGATCAGATCACAGCTTCAGTGCGCTTCCGGAGCTTCACTCGTTTGCATCGCAGCTCGACTCGCAGCGCACTCTGTGTGAGGCCGTGGAAGATTGTCTGGAAGTCTCACGCCAAAATGCTGCAGCTCAAATACTAACTGGTGTACAGTATTGGGATAATAGCACTCCCTCTACAGAAAGATATCCACAGGCTGTCAATTATTTTCTTGGTTCAGTACAAACAATCCATTTAATTTTCTAAAGTTCTAAATGGCTTAGTTCCTGGGTATCTGAGTCTGTTTCAAATCTGCTCTGCTACTAACTTCAGCAGGTGCGATTCCTTTGAAGTCGCCCTCTGTTGCAGCATCCTGCTTGTCGGCCACATGGGGAAGGCCTTTCTCCCAAACTCTGGAATGCAGCTCCTTTTAGAATTACAGCTGTTCCCCAGTCTGTTTTCACAAAAGGGGTCAGGAGGAATCTTACTTGGCCTTTTAAATTGATATGATGCTTAAAAGTTACTTTATGCACTTTAAAGAAAAAACTTTTATTATGTTTGTATTTTATTATTCCTTTCCTTTGAGCTTTTGTAAACTGCTTTGGTCAATTACAGAAAAGCACTATATAAATACCATAATAAAAAATCTTAAAAGGCAATTGTCTTAAGCTGTGGACTGTGGGATGCCACCAGGGACAGGAGAGTCAAGTTTGGGGGACAGTCTTCCGCATCGCTGTGATGGGGAAAGGAGGGCTGGGGAATACCGCAGGAGGCGTTCCTTGAGCCTGAGCATTCGGCAAAAGCCTGCCCCACTCGGAGAACAGAAGGGGCTGGGGTGAAATCCCCTTCAGCCCACCTCCTGCACCAGGCGAAGCACAAGATTGACAGGGCCTGGGAAAGGGGCTTGAGATGGGCATGGTAGTTCCCGATTGGCTCTGGTCAGACAGGTTTATGTCACTTCTCCCCAGTCAGAAGATAGGGAATTAACCCTTTCGTGCCTCTTCGTTTGTAAACGGGGTTTGGAGGTTTCCAATTACTTCCTCTATCTTGTCACAGTTGTAGGGGATGGATCTAACGGCCCACATTTAGCTCTTACCTCTGACAAAGAAGTTGCAGTGGCATTTAAGAGCTGCGTGGCACATGCAAATTCAGAGTTTTCCTCCTCCCTGCCTGAATGACAGGAAAAGATTCCCTGGTCATCTCACCCTGCAACCCCCAAGGCTTCCTCTGGGACATGATGGGATGCTGCCCCCGGGGGAAGTCGATGAGTAGCGTGGAGGTGCAATAACCAAATCGCATGTGCTTGGAATTGGAGTGGCACCTTTTCAGTTTTACCAGCTTCTGTACTTTTAAACAGCCAATCAGGTCAGCGTCACGCTGCGGCTACAGCATAGGTGCGCCACGGATGTTCCTTCCGGTCAGTTGGCAGCCCCACTTGGCATGGTTTCAGCTTGTTAGTCATGTATGTGCCCAGCTGCCAAAACGGGTTGCAGAACAGGCGGATTGTTGGTTCGCTTGCCACTGCCCCAGCTTGGCTTGGCTCGCTTGTATGAGACGCTTACATTCTGCAAGCAATACTTTGCACTTCATCTGGGGAGACAGGAGAAATCTCTTATAGTTTGGTTTCGATCAGGTTTCACCCAGTTTGCATCTGCTGGACCAAACACAGACTTGAGTTATGATCAAAATCTGTACGTATTTGATCTTACAGAGTCAAATATATTCACCGACTCCCAAAAATGTGTTCAACAGCTGCATAATTTGAAAAAGATGCATGAAAATATATACTTTTTAAAATTGTGCACACACTTGCTTTAATCAATGGGAGAAGAAAACGTACATTTCAAAGATACGCACAACAGTGATGTATACTTTAAGTGGGGTATACTTCTGTGTGGTATATTGCGCTCTGGAAATTGAGGGTAGATAATCCTCAAGAGACTTGTAAAAATCTTTATATTCAGAATAAAATTATGTTTTAAAGATGGGATTGGCACAACTAGTAAAGTGCATGTGTAAAGATGTGAGCTATTCAAGTCAAACAATGACCGGGTCCATATAAGTTTTTCAAGAGGTCAAATGCTGATCTATTTTGGACTTTTAACTGACACTACAATGTCTTAAAATACTGTAAAAGTAACAGTAGTAAAACAGTACTGTACAGTAAAACAACTGCAGTACACTGCTATTTAAAATGGATATTTTTTGTCATGTATTTGTATACACCATATAGAAATTCTGTCTGAAATACATGTGGAATACTAGAGCTAACCCTGTAACACAACCCTTAACGTAACCCCAACCCAATGCTGCCGTCTTAAGCATGTTAATTTGAACATGCGTCCCAGTGGAAGAAATAATCCAACATGAGAAGTTTGGTAGCTTTCTTGTTAACATCAGGCTGCTGCTTTCTTAGCAGAGATGGGGACTCCGATATTGTGCATGACAAGTGACAATTTACGGGAAGAAATGGGTAACCCACATGCGAAAGCTACTTTTAAACTGAGCCTGAACAGTGATGCAACTCTGTGGAACTCCTTGCTAGTTGACATTGTTGTGTGACCTGTTGGAGAAGTCACTGGCTGGTCACCTTTTAAAAACGTTTTTGTGTAATTTTCCAAAGAAAATTAGCTGGTCCTGCAGAAGCCTGCAGTTCCGAGGGTCTGAAAATGGCAAGGCTTGCCTGGGCAATGTCCTGAGGGTGCCTGCCGTCAACCCTAGACGCTGACCCAGAGGATCTAAAAGAACATTGTTCTGAATGACGCCTATCAAAGGGCAAGCTGTCAGAGCCAAGTTGCATGTGAACTTTGCTCACAAAAGCCGGAGGCGATGCTTGACCACTTTGTAGTGCGATCCGCAGGTTTCCAGTGTCCCCTCCCCTCCCTGAAATCCCCTAGTTCAAATTTCGCATTTACTATAATCTCACAGGGTGATCTTGGGCAAGCCTCTTTTTCTCTCAGCCTCTATCCTATCAGCAATATGGGAATATTAAAACTGATCTATCCTTAAGGAGTACTGTGCTACGTAAGATACGCAAAGTTGTTTTAAGTGCTTTAAAATGCTTCATGTGGCACTACCACAACCCACCATGCTGTCCGTGTGCATGATTAATTATCCAGGGGGCTCACACCGTCCGACAGAAATTGCAATAAATTGCAATATGCTCGCCCTAAGCGTATCCAACTCAATTTAATCCCTGCAAGTTTCCTTTCTCCTTCTAGAGCTGTTTAGGGGAACTATTCAGAATCCTCTAACAACCGTCTTTCAAACAACAACCCGAAAGCATTAATAGTTTAATTTGCAGCTACTGGCTCCTGTACTCACCACCTTTTAAAACTTTTGATAGACAATTTTGCAGTTGAACGTGTACGAATAGTATTTCTGACGCTTTCATACTCTCTCTCCTGATTTGTATTACCACCACCCCTTGCAGAACATGTATGGGTGGGGTTGCTTTAATTCTGCAGTCCATGAGTAAATTTCACCCAGTTTCCCAGAAAGAGTGGCAGTGCAGGTGTGGTGGCAGAGAAGCTTTAAAAGGAAACTCAAAAATAACATCATTTCGAAGGGTTTTCCCCTGGATCAGGAAATCCACCTTCTTTCCTGAGGAAGGAGCTCTGCCATATCATTTACTGCAGTGCCACTCCCTCTGCTCCTCAGTGACACAACAGCCCTGACATAAAACTCCAACAAAGGAGACTGAACCACATGCTGCCGCTGGCAGCTGATAAATAGCCAAGCCTGCGAATTCCAGAGGGGCAGCTGCTGCTCGGGCTGTTGCAGCAGAGACGAGCGCGAGGCTTGTGGCACCCTCAGCGACTGCCCCGCTATTTTGGGGGGAGGCGGCGGCGGCGGCATCAACAGCCCGGGCCGAATGCCTACATGACAGAGATGCATGTCGCATGCACCTCCTCCCACCGGCTGGACCAGCGGCAAAGGAAGGCAGCCGAGCTTCCATGGCGGCGGCTGCAGCTGATCTGGCAGGGATCCGAAATCCATACCGGCCGAGATTTGTTCTGTGAAGTGAAATGAGCACCTCGAGAGCCAGTGTGGTGTTGTGGCTACGAGTGTGGGACTCACTCGGGGGACCCACGTCCCAGTCCCCACTCAGCCAGGGAGCCCGCTGGGTGACTCTGGGCCAGTCATGGACTATCGGTCCAACCTACCTCACAGGGTGGTTGTGCAAATACTGGGAAGAGAAGGAATGTTATATAAGCTGCCTTTATCTACTTATTTCATTCGTATACCACTGGAAAGGCTTAGAAGGGGGAAAGGGCTGGATATGAATCTAATAAATAAAAATAACTAAAGGAAACAAGTGGCTACCCCTCATTTTGTGTCTTCTCCCCTAAAAGCTTCTGCCCTAAATTCTGCCTGTGTGGCTGGCTACTTGCTGCCATCGCTCAGTGGGGAAAGGCACTGTGCATGTTCAGCTCCTTGTGTTATTAACATGCAATGACCATTATTAACGTAAATATACATAGGAGGATGTTGGGAATTGTAATTCAGCACCAAGCAGGCAGTTACTCAGCTGAAACAAAACCCTGAGCATGTTTGGACAGAAAAAGGCTTACAAACATGGAGCCGTTCATCTGTGAGAGCCTATCTTTTATTCATACTTCGTTTGATTCTTTTAGAAACTTCATCAGTATCTCAAGCAAAACAAACATAAGCAGAAAAGCTAAAACGGGGGAAAATCGAGACGTGCCTAGGAACGCGCTCATTAGGCATGGTGTCTTGGAAAGCACATGGAGCTGAGGGGACTTCGGGCCAGCACCAGGCTGGCGGGCTACGGCGGCCCGGCTGAAGCGAAGCTGGACGCTGCGCTCGCACGCCTGGCTGGGCAGAAAACGGCCTCGCGGGCCCCGGCCCGGCGGAAGGCCGCGCCCGGCACCTCTCCGCGCGGCGCAGCGATGCGGGCCGGCGCGGCCCAGCCCGGAGGCGGCGCCGGCCCATCTCGATCTCCCCCGCGCACGCGCACGCCCAGGCGCTCCGCGGCCTCCCCGCCAGGCCTCCCTCAGGCGCCCGCTCCCCCTCAGGTGCGCCTCCGCGCCTGCGCACTCCGCCCCGCCTCCTCCCCAGGGAGGCCCTTTCCCGCCTTTTCCAACGGCCGCCTTTCCCTCCCTCAACGGAGCGAGGCGGCCGCCGGCCGAGCTCGACCCACCCCCGGCACCCCTTTCCGGCCTCCCCCGCGCACGCGATCGCCCAGGCGCTCCGCGGCCTCCCCGGCAAGGGATCCGCGCCCGCAGCTGCTCCCGGCGCCGGGCCTCCCTCAGGCGCCCGCTCCCCCTCAGGCTGCGCACTCCGCCCCGCCCCCTCCCCAGGGAGGCCCTTTCCCGCCTTTTCCAACGGCCGCCCTCCCCTCCCCCCCAGCGGGCCGAGGCGGCCCCCGGAAAAGGCGGGAAAAAAGGCGCGCGGGCGGGCGCGCGGATCCCGAGTGCGGAGCTCGCGTGTGTCTGTGTAAACCGCCCGGATAAAAGTGAAGCGAACGGACGAATAAACCCGGAGCCTGAAATTCGGGGATCGAAGCGGGCGAGGCGGCGCGGGTCTCCCCCTGGTGACCGTCAGACCAGGCGGCGTCGCGACGCCCGAAGGGCCGAATAATAGAGGCACGGTGCGGTTCGCTCCCTGAGGGAAGCTCCCCCGGAAAATGGCGGGCACGGTGCATTTATGCTTGCATTTATATGCCGCTGCTACTGTCAGCGTGCAGCCGCGCGCATGCTGAGGCCGAAGAAGTGCGACCAGTCCCAGCATGGCTGTCTTGGGGATGCTGCGAATTGCAGGACCCCGCCCCCCCCCGCCACCCATGAAAATGTGCAGGAAATTGTGACCAGGAATAACATTTCCCTTTTTTCTAGGCATTCAAATCTGAGATCTGAGGAAGAATAACGAGTAGGGCTGTGTTTGTGTGGAAGCGAAAGTCTCACACTGAAGCCTTTGCCCAACTGGAGTGTCTTTATAACTGGCCAAGACACGTTCTTTCCCCAAAATTTAAAAATCCAGCACAGGCTTGCCAGAGTTCACAGAGCAATGCCCTATTAGGACCCTAATATAATGCAGTCACTAATACACTTTGTAGGAAAAGCAAAAAGAAAGAACATTACTAAAAATCATACCAGTATCTGTTTTAAAATGCATGCATTTGTGTTTCCAAAACTTGCAACACATTGCCATTATTTTTGCAAATAAATAACAATTTCATTTCTCAATATGTTGCAAGGATGGGGATGTGTTTCTAATATACTCTCATAATAAATGGTTTTAACCATTTAAAACTTTTTTTCTGCCTATATAATGTTTTTGTTGTATTCTACAGTTTGTTTTCTGCCCAGAAAGCTTCAGCTGTGGGGTGGCAATCAAATTAATTAATTAACCCCATACCAGAAGCAACTTGTGTTTACAAACAAGTATGTGGGTGGGTATGAAATGCTTTTACAAGAAAATGTTTCTGGTAAATGCTGCATCTGCAGTTTGATTCTGTAGCAGGAAAGATGGCCAAAGGAATTAATACTAAACTGAATAAAATATTAATAGAAAAATATTCTAATGGAGGAAGTCCCTGTCGATCAATTGTTCAATCCTATGCAAGTTTCATCAGGAAAATAAAACTCCCAATATATCCCAGCCAGCATAGAATTGCACCATAATTAAAAGCCATAGGTCACATCATTAACACATCAGTCACACTACTACAAAAATCACTACTAGCTAGCAGATTTGATTGATTAATTTTAATCACACAGTAATATATTAGTTAAACTTTCTTCCTTTATAGCTATAAATGAAGCATTTACATCCTAATTCATAATTAGCCTTTCAAAGGGTTATTATTTTTGGTTTTATTCTGCTAAAAGCCCTCAGATAGTCAAAAGAATTCAAAGAAATTTCAGAAATTAATAGAGGAACATCTGGTTGATTAATGCGCTTTGCAACTGAAGTCCAAAATGGTGCTTAGCAAACACCGTAGCTAAGCTTAAATGGAAAGAATAAAACCAAGGGTGCAGTTGGGCTGAAATGAAGCATGATACATTCAACTTATTTCACTGGAAGGCATCTGTGGATGTGCTTAATTTGTTTTAATTCCCATACTATCTTCTACTGAAAGATATGTTGAAATCATCCAAGTGAAAGTGACTGAGGTGCAAAAGGCCAGGGCCAGTTCCAGCTTCCCAAGGGAAGGGAGAGGCTTCCTCATCTATCAGCCAAAGCTGAAAGAATAAAACCAAGGAAGGAAGCCATTGCCACCAGTGTATCCAGCATTTATTTATTTATTTGGGATACTTGTATGCCGCTCCATTCGCATAAGGCTCGGGGTGGCTTCCAACAAATAAATAACAATACAAAAATATAAAAATTGGGCACATCCAGGCAATAAATAAAACCAATAAATAAATTAACAATTAATTAAAATAACGTTTAAATAAAAAGGTCTTGGCCTGGCGCCGAGAAACAAATAACGACGGCACCAGGCGGACCTCTCCGCATCAGGGCTGAATTTAGCAACTTCCCCAAGCAGAATGGGCCATACTCTTATTCCGGATTTGTTGGAACCCACAAATCCCAGTACTTCACTGCATCTAGATTATGCTTCAGTTTGCTTGCCTTCATCCCCTTTTACCCTTTCCTCTTGCCATTACTCTGCCCTCTCATGCATTATATAGTCCTGGGGGCCAGGCTTAAGTACCTGGGCTGTATGGGGCACACAGACTGAACTTTGGGAAGCAGTCAATGGCCAATCAGCTTTTCTGATGACATTCCCGAAGCTGATAAGAGAAGGCAAATGATATGAAGGCCACAATCCTATGCATATTTGGGCGCAAAAAAGCCCTGCAGCTCCGAGCATTCCCCTGAATTGTGGCCTGAATGAATTAGTTGTGAAGAATCAGGTTCATAATGGCTCCAGCAGTCCAGCCACTGATGTCCTTCCTTGCTTCTGCCTGTCCATTCCAGAGAAACACTTCTGTTCTAAAATTATCTTTTTAATATGCACAACACATAATTCTACTGGACATGCTTCCCAACAGGAACAGAACTCAGTGGGAAGACTGACCTGCCCGTCCCTTTTGCCACATGGATTGGTTTCATTGCAACCAGTGTTTCAGCCAGGAGGGATCTGAGTTTTGTGTCACCAGCTGTGGGCACATATTTTGCAAAAAATGTGCTGGCTCAGGTAAGAGTGACAACTTGGTGGCTTTTTGCATCCGGTGCTATCACTGTAATAATATTTCTGCCTATTTCTTCTCTTGCTTCCTTATGGCTCTTACTGTAGCCTTGTCTGCTTTTGCAGTATGTCTGCACAGCCAGTAAAATCTTGGGTGCTGGAGTAGGAGTAGAAACACTATTTACATTGAACAAAAATATGGGTTGTATTTTATTATGAATTCTGTATTAACTGAATTGGTAGTTTCTTAAGCACCGAACTGAAAGCTTATTGGTTTATTTTATTTTTATTGGATTATAATTTTATACTATTGTTTTTGAAATTATTGTATTTGTTTTTGTGTGATGTTGGTAAGTTGCTTTGGGCTTCCCTAAGGGAGAAAAGTATGATACAAGTAAATTGAATTAATATGGTGTTTGTACTGTGACTGCAAAATCAGTGATTTCCGCCTCTTACGGATCTATAGTCTTCTTGACTTGCATGTTTGTATACAACTCTTGCTAATATTTGAAATATTTGAGTCCTTCTCTACATCTTTTATTTATTTATTTATAAAATTTGTATGCCATCCAATTACTAACATCTCTGAACGGCTAACAGCATAAATAAATTGACGACCCACTTGAGCTGCAATTAATAAAATACAATAATAAAATTCAATATTAAAACTTATTAAAATATTGATTAAATAAAAAAGTCTTAACCAGGCGCCAAAAAACATATAATGACGGCTCCCAGCGGACCTCTCTGGGGAGCGCATTCCATAGTCGGGGCGCCACCGCAGAGAAGGTCCTCCTCCGGGTACTCTGTATCCTTACATCTTTCACAGAGGTTTCTCGGAGAAGGGCTTCTGTTGCCGATCTCAGGGGGAGGGAAGGCAAATAGGGAAAAAGGCGTTCCTTTAGGTATCCTGGTCCCAAGCCGTTTAGGGCTTTATAGGTAATAACCAGCACCTTGAACTGAGCTCGGACTTTGATGGGAAGCCAATGGAGCTGATAGAGGACTGAGGTTATATGAGAGTAATGCCCAGTCCCCAACAGCATCCTGGCTGCTCTGTTTTGTACCATCTGAAGTATCCGGACTGTCTTCAAGGGCAGCCCCACGTAGAGCGCGTTACTGAAATCCAACCGGGAAGTAACCAATGCATCCTTCACTTTCGCTAGGCAATCCTCCTCCAGGTAGGGACGCAGCTGATAGATTAGCCGAAGCTGAAGGAAAGCGCTCCTTGCCACCGCTGTCACTTGAGCTTCCAAGGTCAGCTCCGGGTCGAGGAGCACTCGCAAGCTGCAGACCCTGTCCTTTAGAGGGAGTGCAACCCCGTCCAGGGCAGGGCGCAAGTCACCCACCCAGGAGCCCGAATCACCCACCAACAGGACCTCCGTCTTGTCTGGATTGAGCTTCAGTTTATTGGCCCTCATCCAGCCCATTACCTCGGCCACGCACCGGTTCAGGATAGCCACTGCCTCACCTGGATTAGTTGGAAAAGAGAGATAGAGCTGGGTGTCATCAGCATCTTAACAGAACAATTGCAGAAGCATTACAGAAACCCTATAACACCAAAAAACAAAAACATTTGGAATCTTATAGTGCAATCCTCTTCATGTTTAAGCAGGAAAAAGCCCTGTAAGTTTCAGTATTGGCTTGACCAGCCAGTGCCTGGAGTTGTGGGACTTCTTCCTGCCTAAACACCCACTGGATTGCAACTTTAATGAACCAAAAGCCAAAAAGGTTTAAAAAAAACCTCAGCATGTTTATATTTTCAGTAAATATGAGTTGCACTGAAAGGTGCAACTAGGCAATCCTAATAAGTAGAACAATTTTTATGCTCTTTTAAAAGACAGTCTAAGGATTCTGAAGATGGCATTGTAATTATTTGTGTTTTTGGAACATTCTTTTGTAATATTCGTTAAGTTGTACTAATATCTTTTGCATTTTAATCCTGGCAGATAAATGTCCATCTTGTGGAACAAGCAGCAAATACTTGCTTCTCAATGATAGTGTAAGTTGTAGCTTCTGGGTTAACAGGAACCACAGTCTTTCTTTCTGGGCTTTTGGAAACATAGAACTCTTTGTATTGCATCAGTTTGGGCATATGTTTGTACCTTCTCATTATGTAAAATAGAAAAAGAAAGCCAAACAGCAGAATCATGAAGAAGGGTTTTCTTCTATACATGGCATTAGTGAGATTCTTCATTCCTATTCTGTTGTTCAGTCCGAGAGTTTCTTTGTTTTAAAAAGCGATAGCCTGATCCTGAAAACAGTGGCTGAAATATCACAATGTGGTGAGAGTTAGTGGGGATTAGAAACCCCCAACAAAATATTGCAATGTATTCTCCCGTTGTGATCGGAATCCTCCTATCCAGGGTGCCAGCAATGCAACCATGCTCTCCTCCAGGATGCCTTTCCATTGCCCCTCCAGTCTTCTGTTTTTCTTTTCCAATTTAAGAGCAATATTTCATGGCCATTGAGCACACTTGGGTTTTTAGACACCTTGGTTTTTAAAAATAGGGTTTTGAACTTTTGCAATCCTTGGGGTCCCCGCAAAGTACTAATGTATTACTCTTTTTCAATCAGTAATCATATTTGGGTCACAATCGTGTCTGCACATATACTACTTATATGTTACAATTTTAAAATCACCCCCGCCCGATCAAGGAGAAGTTAAAGTTGGACACAAGAGGTTAACTAGTATCTGCATTGCATAGCAGACCTATCATTTAAGAGTTTCAATAAAAGCAGTAATCATTCCTAGACCAATTTTAATTTTGCAAAGCAATTTTCAGTCCTTACTCATTTGCACAACAAGTGGATAATTATTCCTATATTAATGATTCAGGCAGGGACAAAATGGCTAACACTCAATAAGTTTAATGACTAAAGTATTGTTGTAGTCGTTAGGTCTCTTTTTAAGTGCAAGGCCATTTGAAACCCAGTATACCTCAAATTTGTTAGCATCTATAGAATATTTTAAGGGGAGCTGTGACTCATCCCTTATAATTTCACTTTCTGTTTGCTTTTTTTGACTCACAGATGCCACCAGAAGAAAAAAAGTTTTTCAAAAACTCTCTTGAGACTGCACTCAGCTATATTGCCCATATTTCTCAGGTAAGAATGACAAATCTGAGTGTCTTGGAATTTCTCCTGGATTTTAACATGTGTGACAATGACAGGCAGCAAATGAAAGACAGTAAGATTTCCTTGCTAAGGGCAGGTGAGAAGCAAAAACAGACAGCAAAAGAAAACAGAATCCTGACTGCAGCTTTTTGGTGACTATCATGAAGAGACGAAAAGAAGTATTGCACTGGCTACTACAAAGACATAGAAGAGAACAAAGGAGCAAAAGTAAGCTATCTCTTCCAGAAGATAGAAGAAATCAAAAGGAAATTCATACCACGATTGGGAAAGCTGAAAGATGAAGAGCTAAAATAAGAAAGCCAAAAAATATGTGGAAGAATGATGCAGAAGAATTGGAAGATGACAGAATCTTTCAAAGAGGGATCCTATAAGTAAGAAACTGCTATTTTAATAAGTGAAGTGAAGGCTGCTCTGAAATCACCCAGAATTAATAGAGCACCTGAAGGAGATAAGGTACCAATAGAACTATTCCAAGCTGCAGGGACTGAATCGGACTAGAGCAATGGCCCACAGACTAGAAACGCTCAATATACGTTCCAGTCCCCGGGAAAGGAGGTGCAAAAGAGCATGGGAGCCATGGGACCACTGCACTAATTTCCCGTGCAAGCAAAGTGGTGCTCAAGCTGTTGCAACAAAGAATTTAGCCCTATGTGGGGGGACAATAAATGCCTGACCATCGGCCTGAATTCTGAAAAATCCCAAATGCAAACCAAAGAATTTCAGAAGAAGATCATTCTGTGCTTTATAGACAAAGCCTTTGACTATGTGGATTAAGGAAGCTAAAGGAAATGGGTGTGCCTCAGCACTTAGAGGTTAGAGGTTTTCAGTTTTCTCCAGGGGTGGATTTCCTTAAGATGTAGCATGCGTAAATGAGTTTTATATTATGAGGGTTGCTAGCTGTCTTAAGAACAGAAAAAGAGTTATGTTGGATCAGGCCAAGGGTCCATCTAGTCAAGAACTCTGTTTGCACTGTGGCAAAGCAGCTACATCTCACAAGCAGGATGTGAGTGCAATAGCACTCTCCTGCCCGGGTTTCCCATCAACTGGTGCACAAGGCAGTCCGCCTCTTCTCTTCCTATTGCACTAGAAGCATATGACAGCTGCTCCTGGGTTACTTGTCATTACTTTTCTGAATTGCATTTAACTAACTGGTTTGAGAAGACAGGCCTGCCGTTGCCTGAAGGTAAATAGTAATTGCCTTTTATATTAGGAAACAGGCATGGTTGCACCAGAAGTTTTTTCTATTTGTTTGCTTTAGAAGTTTGCTTGTCAAACTTCTTAAGTTCTTTCTTAAATTCCCACAGTTAAATTGAACTGATTACACTTTTAAAAAGAGACAGATGAATATGTAATTGAATGAACATTACATTTGGTGTTTTAAAGAGTTTAAAAAGGTAGGCTACCAACCTGAAGCATGTTGGAGGGACAAGAATGACAATTGGGTCAGCATCCAAATCACTGCTAAGTATGTTTGTCGTTGCAAATATGTGGGCAACTAAGCTTATCCTTCAGGAGAAAAATCTGCTATATGTCTGCTTTAATGTTCTGTTTGTATGATTGAACAGAATTGTTGTATTTCCAAAAGCGCTCACATGAGATTCCTCATCCCCCGAGCAAACCCTGGCATTTACATCTGATGAGAACTAATGTCCCCAGGTTCCCATTCTCCAAATTCTCATACTTCATTGGCTCTCTCCCTAGGTGTGGACTTTCCAGAAAGGCCAGATGGAACTGCTGGTCTCTTCTTACAAACACAGGGCTTCAGAGACTGAAGAAGCCCTGCAGCAAGCTCATCAGAAACTGACTACCCAGGAAAAGTGAGGCACGTAGGTTGCATTGACATGGATTATGGCAAACGGAGTTAGCAATGTCTGCAGGGATGGCGGAGCATGAGAGGCTCTGTTTTTCTATTTGCTGCTGTTCTGAACAGTCAAGTTGCCTCCAACGTATGGTGACCCTGTGAGTGAAAGGTCTCCAAAAGGTCTTATCCACGGCATCATTGCTTAGCTCTTCTAAATTCAAGGCTGTGAGTTCCTTTATGGAGTCAGTGGAACTCTAATTTGGTCTTTTCCTTGCCTCCCTTCAACTTTCCCAGCATGATTGCCTTCTCCACTGAGTCTTGCCTTCTCATGATGTGCCCAAAGTATGGCAGCCTCAGTTCTGTCATTTTTTGCTTCTCGAGAAAGCTTTGGCTTGATGGTGTTGCATACATGAGTACTTTTGCCTTTCTCCCCATTCCCTGAAAGTCAAGTCAAGTATGTTAAACCATTGGGAAAATTCCCCGAGTCTTTTTCTGTTCTGAAATAAATTAGTTTTTTTTCCTCTTTGGTGGGCATGGGTTCTTGATAAGGAGTGGAACAGACCATTAGGATCATGTTAACATTGAACATTAATTAAATGGAGGGAAGGATGTGTACATGCATTTCTGCTCATTCCTAATTGTAATGTCCTCAGTTAAAACAAATAAACATTTAGGATGCAAGCTGTATGACCAAACCATGCATCCCACTGCTGTGCTCTGTCACTACTGAAGTGTTCTGCTATGTAAGTTAAAGGGACCAACACTGAGAACAAAGGGATACTTGGGAGGATGCTTAATTATTTTCTAAATTACCCATCTTGCTTCTCTCCTACCCACTAAATGCCCAGGGAGTTGGAGGTGCTACGGAAGGAAAACAGGGAATTGAAGAAGAATCTTAGTCTTTTGAAGGTAGGATGGAACAATGTGCTGGGAAGCGGTGGCTTTTGCTTTCTGGATGCAATAGTTTTTGTGTAGAGGATAAAACTGAATCAGTTTCTCTATATGAGTGTATGTAGATCTTGTGAACTATCCACTTTCTCTCTACAGGATTCTCTGAGCCATCTCCAGGGTAGTAGGTCAGTGTTTCCCTTTTTGGCCTTTGTGGACAAATAGCAGGAACTAAAATAACTGATGTGTGGGCAGTGGAGATTGTACATACCAGAATGAGCTTTCTGGGCTTGAGACCAAACTCAGCATCTGAAGCAAAGTAATGTGTTTTTGACCTTGACTGAACAAACATCTTTTTTATTTGTTGCAGAAACAACACACCAAGGCCAGTTGCTGTCACCCCTCCATTACAAGCAGGTATGAAGATGACCTTGCACTAGACATTCTGTGAGGTCCTTAGGAAGACAGGCATTTGACAGCATATTTTCTTGTGACTAAACTTGTAAATTCATGTGTTATGGCCTGTACATGCAATTTTGATTGATAAAATTAGGGAATGATGGACCCTGCATACTTTTGCTGCAAGGTTGCAAACATACTAACATGTGTTGCATTTATTAATTTAAATTATTCAAAGCCCAAGCCCTCACAAGGTGAGTTCCATCATACATATCACAGTGTTTCATGTAACTGAATCACCTAACACATCAAAAACACAATTTAAAAGATAACAGAAAATAGCAGTAAAATCAACAATAAAATACCAACAGAATAATAAAACAACAACATCTAACCAAACATATTATTGTCAAACAACAGCAGCAGCATCATATCTTTGCCAATAAAAAGCAGCCCAAAAAGTAAGTCCTTGGCAAATGTTTTAAGGCTTGCAATAATGAGGGCTGTACAAACCTCATTTGGAATAGATTTCTGTACACATGAGGCACCACTGAAAGAGCTCTCTCCCTTGTGGCCGCAAACCAGATTGGAGGCACACAAATAGGGCCTCTGGAAATGAAGTTAACGCACTGGGAGGCTGGCATGGTGTGAGGCAGAGGTAGACCTCCACATGTTTTAGACCACTGGTCATGTTGGCTGTGACTTACAGGAACTGTAGAACAAAACAGCTGGAGGAGGCCAGCTTGCTTAGCCCTTGTATGGGTGGATCTTCAAGTAACCTTATTCCAGAAACAGAAACAGTGCGAGTCAGAAGGGGTCTCCTGGGCCATCTAGTCTGACCCCCGGCTCCAGCCGGCTCTGCTCACGACATGCCCACCATGTGCATGTCCAGCCTATCCTTCAACAGCCTCCTGATGGGACCTCAACCACCTCCCTGGAAGCCCATTCCATGCCCTCGGGGTCCTGACTGTCAGGAAGTGCTTCCTGGCATCCAAATTGAACCTTGGCTCCCTGAGCTTGGCTCCGTTGGAGCGCGTCCTGCCTTCCTCTGTAGGGGAGAACAGGTCTCTCCCCACCTCCGTGTGACACCCCCTCACATACCTGTATGTCACCAACAGATCCCCTCGGAGTCTCCTCTTCTCCAGGCGGAAGAGACCCAGTTCCCTCCGTCTCGCCTCATACGGCTTCCCCTGGAAACCGGCCACCAACCTTGTGGCCCTGTGCTGCACTGACTCCAACCTGGCTATATCCTTCCTGTAATGAGGGGCCCAGAACTGAGCACAAGGCTCCAGTTGTGGGAGCACCAGAGTCGTACAGAGTGGTAGTAATATTCTAGACTGTTAATGACTTTAAAAGTGAAAGTCAGCTTTTTTAATTGGAAAGGAAATGCAGTGGCAAGCAGCGCAACTAGCATAATATTGGTATCAGATGCTCTGAATTGGTGGCCACATTCTGCATCACTTGAAGTTTCCGAATTGTCTTCAAAGGGAGAGCCACGTGGAGCACACTGCAGTAGTTTGACTTGGATGCCGTTACCGTGTAGGTAATGAAGGCAAGGTCTGTTCTCTCTAGATAAGCCTGCAGCTTGTATAGGAGTCTATGCTGGGTAAACAGACTCCTAGCCACTGCTACCACCTGTGCTTTCACAGATAGTGCTGAATCCATTGGGAACATCCAAGGTGCAAATTTGGTTCTTCATAGGGAGTGTAATCCCATCCAAGATCAATAGCAAACCTCCATCTAGATTGGCTGATTTCCTTAAACACAGTAACTTTCGTCTTGCCTGGATTAATCTTCAGCCTCATCCATCCCCAAAATACCTGTAGACACCGGATCAAGAACCCCATAGCCTCCCTGTGATAGCAGGCAGAAACAAGTAGAATTGAGCGTTTTACACAAATTGGTGACACTTCAAACCTCCAGATAATTTATCTTCAGCAGCTTCATGTTACTATTAGAGAGGATGAGGGGGCACAAAATAGAACCCATAAACCAAAGAAACCAAAGCATACAGGCCAGAGGGGAAGTTCTGCTGTACCACTTTCTGGGACCAATCTTCCAACAAATAGAATCAACTCTAACACTGAGCCTCCTGAGCCTGACTTAAGCAGGCATCCCAGAAGGATACTGTGGTTAATGATATTGAGAGCCACTGAAAGCGCCAGGAGAACAAACAGCTTTTCTTTCCTCTGCCTATTTCCTAGTGAAAATCACCGTGTCACCAAAACTATTTCTGTCCACCCCTACACCCAAAGATGGCTTGGAACAGATTCAAATAATCAGTATTCCCCCATACCACCTGGAATTGAGAAGCCAATTCACTTTCTGCTACCTTGCCTATTCTGAGCTCAGAAAACCAAATAAAAGTGCATGCCGTTTTTGACCTTGAGTATTTGATAATCTCATGGAAAGACCTGCATTGGTAGAGCACATGTTTTCCATGTAGCCCATTCCAAGTTCAGTCCTCAGCATTTCCCAGTAGAAATGGACAAGATCTCTGCCTAAAAAACTAGAATGCTGTGGCAACTCCATGTAGACAAGACTGAGCTAGATGGATCAATGCTGTGATTCAGTATAAGTCCACGTCCATGTTTATGCCTTCTTAATGCTTTTTAAGGAGTATACCTGGCAGTTGTTTTCTTTTTGGTACCAGGTGAAAACCTTTTTATTTACCAGATGTTTTGAAAATTAGATCGTTTTTATTATTGTTTTAATCTGAACTGCTATGCTGAGTATTAATGTTATTCCATCACCATGAGTTGACAAGTTTTCTGTATTTGGTTTTTGATTGGTTTTTCATAGAATCATAGAATAGTAGAGTTGGAAGGGGCTATAAAGGCCACCAGTCCAACACCTGCAGTTGCAGGGCCCCAGTTTACATCATCCCACTCAGAGGGCTGCCCAGTTTCACCTTGAATGTCTCTAGTGTGGGAGAGCCCACCACCTCTCTAGGCATCTGATTCTGCTGTCATATTGCTTTGACAGTGAGGAAGCTTTTAATATTTTGTAATTGCTTATTTTATAATTGTTTATGTTAATCCTAAACTATCCAGAGAGCCCCGTGGGCTATGGGGATGGTATAAAAATGCTGCTGCTGCTGTTATTATTTTAAAAATCAGTGGAAGTGGAGCCAAGAAGAATAGGTTAAGTCCTCTCCTTGAGAACACAGGGATAAAAATTGTTTCATATTCCACTCCCTCCACAGTAACTCATTCTCTAATACTTTGCAGTTACACCACGGTCTGGTTTTCAGCATTCCAGTGAAGTGGTTAGGTAAGCACAAAAGGATTTTAGGGTTTTTTTAAGTATGGTAAATAGTGGAATTTTGGAATTTAAGAGAACTTTAAAAAGCAAATATCTAACTTATATCATTATAGAGGAAGAAGAATGTAAGCATCTTGGTAAACCTTATTAAAAATTCAGCTGGGGTTTGTTCATTCAATGTTGGGATGACCTGGTTTAATCAACAGAGTTACCAATCTTCATGCCCTCTTTTGGTGGTTTCCACCCTGCCACACCATGATACTTCTGGTTGTGACTTGTGCTGCTTCCTCCTTTGAATTCTTTAACAACAAAGCTTACTCTAAATTCCAAGTTTTGCAACTCCTTTACCTTATCTCCCAAAACCCAAACTGAGCAACTATTGAAGTCAAATGTACATAGTGTATTAATTAATTAATCCAGTCCATTTCTATATCAGTTTTCTGCCAAGGCATCCAAATTAATATGTTTAAAGTCTGAAAAAAACAGATCTTACCAAAAATGCCAACTATTCCAAGCAAACACTAGAATAGAGTTTTCTCAGGTCGGCTTAAGGTCTCTAGGAACTGATGGCACAGACTCCCCCATGCGGCTTCTTCTCTTCTGTTTCCTTCAATTGTTCTAGGGAGGTAGGGGACGGGCTGCTCCAACCCTCAGGAACTTATGGCATAAGCTCCTTGGCCTGGGCTTCTCCTCTGAGACAGATCTCAAGTGGAGGCTTTCCTAGATAAGTTTCAATAAACGCGCATACATTTATTTCAGCCACAGCATTTGGATTCTGTTGCTATAGAATCTGCGTTCCTAACCAACAATTAACTCCCACTGAGGAGTTTTTGACCTTTTGTGCTGTCTCCTATAGCCGTTCCTCTTCCATGGATTCTATCTCCTCAAGAGTCAATCATCCAGCAAACTGGCAAGTGAGTCCCCCATACCAACAAGGGAAAGAAGGGAAGGACACATTGCTTTGTTCCTTTCAGACACATGGAAGGGGTCTTCCACTTTTCTCTCCAGCTTGCCACAGGAGCCGCCTGGATGAGTCGCGGCAGGATGACCCCAGCTGACACAAATAATGGTAAGAAACAATGGAAGCAAACAGGAAATGCCAAAAATGCTTAATGCTCTAATGAATAGAAAAATCAAAAGAGTGACACAAGGCCAGAATAAGCGGAATAAGGCCATTCCTTTTTCTTGCCCAAGGATTTAGGATACAGCTCCCCTGATACAAGACACCACTTCTGCAGCCAAGCTGGCATGCAGGGTAAACTGAGATAGGTTAATCTGTCTAATTATACTCTTCTAGTCTCTATTTATCACCTTATACTAGACAGCCAAGATGAACTCCCAAGTATTGTCCTCCTCATAACACTTTTCCATAGTCTCTCTGTCATTGTACCTTGTATAATAGTCTAAATTCTATTTTCCAGCTGCTCCTTCCCCAGCTTCCACTCAGAGTTTATTCTACAGGTGAGTCTCAGGATGAGAAACGATCTCTGGCAGAGGTTTTCTAGCTTAGCTGCCTGAGAGATTTCTTCCTGGGAATGCCATGGATTGAACCTAGGACCATCTGTATGCTAAGCTTGGGCTTGACTACTGAGGTATGACCTGCCTATTGCTTTCCTCTCCCTACATCATATTTAGGGCTTCTTCCTCCTCTTCTCACACCTCTGGCTTGGATGTTATTACCCTACAACCCACCATGGTGAGGCAAAGCCAGAGTGACAGCAGGAGTAGGCATCAGCAAGAAACACCCCATTTCAATATCTTCACTGGTGAGTAGCTGGTCTTGCAGTGTTGCCTAAAACTTCTTATTTTCCATATTTTGTATTTCTGCCATTTTTGCGCACATTATATTTCATGCCATGCAGACACCAGAGAACACTGTCCCGGCTCCTAAGGAGTATTGGTTTGAGAGACAAGGGGTAAAACAGCTCATTTTGCCCCAGAGTATTACTACAATGATGCTCAGTTCCTATTTGTTTTGGCTCACAGATCGGATGGATGGAGCCCTTATACCAGAACATCGCAGCACTGAGAGACTGTACCCCCTGCAGGTGAGAGAGTGTGTGTCTGGACTCTACAGGTGCTTTCTAGAGTGATGATGATTTAATTTCTATACCACCCAAAAGCTGAAGCTCTCTCTAAAAGCCACTTTTGTTTCCCTTTCCTTCCTAGCTGAGGTTCACCCCTCACAGTACACCATTATTTCAGAGCAGGTAAATGCATATCTTAAGCAGCACACCACCTTTGTCATCATTATTCTACAAGAGCTGGGGGAGTACAATACTTTATGGGTAGCTCTCAAAGACTACAGATATGCACACCTGGGGGAAATTTTAGATAGCAGAGTTAGTAACTGCAGTATTTATCCCTGCAACTGACTTACTCTACTCTCTTTTTCAGACCCCCTTTTGCCAGCAGAGTCCACCAGCAATAATAGGGAGGACTGAAAAACTCTGCCTTTAGTAACAGCATCATAGCACACAAAGTCACTGCAGCCCTGATTTCTGAGAGCATGGTGCTGACAATAGAAACTGTATGGAATTTTGGATCCTAACGGAGAAGTTTTTCCTATTCCCGTCCTTCTCCGTTTTATACTGTGTTACTGTAAGTTACACACACATGCAAAGTGTAATTGCTGATTAATAACCAGAAGGGCATTCTGCTGCCTAATCATACTTTTGTAAGTATCTTCACCACTAGTCTAGTTCAATTGCTGAGAATTTGTGCCGGCTTATCCTTTCTTTAATTTGTTTAGGCAAGAAGCAAAAATAAATACATTAATGTTTCAGTGAATACTTGAGTTTACTGGATAAAAACAAAAATCTCAAAGCAAAGGAAGAAAAATGGCATAGTTCCACAATGACTTTTGATTGCTAGTTTAGGAGATGACCACCTGGAAGCACCTGTGGTCAAAGACAGATCAAAAGTCAGGTAAAGTGATGAGTCTGTGCTGTTACTCCTGTTAAGTTACTCCGACCAAAGGACAGCTTAGAGCAAGAATTAAAACAAGCAAGGGCCCTATTGGTCCTTGGTAGACTGAAGTGCTGAATTTCTATCTCTAGCCATTATGTTGGTTCCCTTGCAGCATAACGGAGACTAAGCCCATCATTTGTGAGAGCTGTCCAAGTGGTAGTAGTTCCTGGCATTAGCTGCCTTAGTCCCTGGTTTTAGTCTCCTGGCACAGTGCGCTTGATTGCAAGCATGGGGGATGATGATGTGAGGAGGCAAGCTGTGGAGGACTCGGAACTGCCTTGCTCTAAGGCCATTTCTGTGGACCATGCTGGAGGCGTGGCAACTCTCTTCCAAACCATGGGTTTCTCTCCATTGTAGTTCGATGTTTTATACCAGCTGGTGATAATCCTCTCAACTGGCCTAAACGAGAAAGAACTTTATCCCATCTATTCAGAAGGAAATGGCATCCAAAGAAGAGCCTTTAGCACGTACATCGCTCCAGATCAAGCTGCGCTGTACTTCTTGCTCTGTTCCTCATTTGTACCACCCAGCCTACTCCCCTGTTTGCTTGGCAGGCAGCAGAAGCAGAGAGTAAGCAGCGGTATGCTGGGAGGAATGTGAAAGAAGGCATGGCAGCAGCAGCCTCTCTCCCGGTGCATCAGTGCTGTCGAAGAGAAGGGTGGGCTCTCGGGACTGCAACAGGCAAAACCCGCCCTTGGGTATTGTCTGCCCAGAGCTTCCTGTCAGTGGTGCTCTGCTACGGCTCGCACGGTTGCTGTGGTGATCCTGTCACAGCGCTTTCTGGGCACGGTGAGGTCTCCACTAAGAACTGCTGGTGTGACTATGGAGGCCTATGCACCCCATCACAAATGGGAGGGGAAGAGTCGGAGCAGGAGGAACTGGAGCATGGGAGGCAGCAGGCAAAACCAGCGGGGGATTTCCTCCCCTGCTCTTCCGATTTCCTCCCCTGCTCTGTAAACTGAGACTGAAGGCTACTGGATGCCTGCCGGGCCAGTATTCCTTCTCCCAGCTTTCAGCTGGCTGAACTGGTGCAAGGACACGCAATGTTCATTAGCACTCTGACTGTTTAGAGGGAGGCAGTAAAGCAGCCTTACTGCTGCTCCCCAGATGGATTGGGCTACAACTGCTTGCACCCCTGGGGCTGTGTTGGCTGAGGATGATGGAAGTTTTACATGTAGAGGTTAACAACTTGGGGAAGGGTGCGACAATGATTCTTTGAGAGAAATGAACGCTGAATGTTGGTGGTGCCTGTCTGCACAGGTAGGAAGGGCTTTCCTCTGGCTGTATGGTGGTATATAGGTGAGTGTGTAGGACCCAGTGCACATATGTGTGCATGTTCCTGGTGCACAAAATATTTTTCACATGCATATGAGAACTCTGCAAGTTAAAGCAGCAGCTGGATATTTTAATGGCCTTGTCAAAGGCACCATTGTGCTCTTCCCTTTCTGGAGAAAAGCAGTAGACTGGTCATCTAAATCACACCACCATCCCAGTAGTGTTAGCGAGTTTTAACAAGGGCATTGTCTCCTTGTATAGCCCCTTTGTTCCTCGTGTTGTTTGATGGTTTTGTTACACAGGTATGGTCAGTTTTCTTTGCTTTTTAAATACAGATTCCTTAGAGAATTGTCTTTCAAGAAATCAGAACTGAAAGCTCTGCTTCTTTGCTACCCCGTTAAGATCACTTGAAACAAACATCTCTTTACAGCTAGGGTTGGTAATAGATAATGCTCATCTTTGATGCCACAACAAGTTTCACCTGCTGATTTCTGTACATCAAACTTGTTGCAGTAGCAAGCCAAACTTGTACTCTGCCAGACCCCCCATTGTCAACTTTCCTTCAATGCATATCTTAGCTGCTTGAGCCTCACCTGCAACAATACCAGCCTGGTCTTTGAAAGGCCACATTGAGGTGCTTTATGCACTAGTCCAGTCAATGTTGAGCCTGACAGACATGCTCAGCAGCAGTCTTAGTATTCATCTTGGCTTCCTTTTCAACAGACAGGCTGAGCCGGTGTGTCTGTCTACAAACATATCTACTGATAGGTGATCTGGTTTACTCTAGAACTTGGCAGCAGCTTTTCCATCAGGCCACAGCAGGAGGAGGGAAGAGAAACAGGGCAATATCAGCTCTGCTGAGAAGTCATGTCCAACAAGTTTCCCCTTCCATCAACGGTCACCGGGCAGCAGCCACTCACCAGGCTGTAACAGAGAAAGATGGCAGTCAGGACCCCTCCAGCCCTGGCGAAACAGCAGCAGTTTCTGACTCCTTGTCGCCTTGCACTGTATGCTTTCCCAATTGTCTTTATACACACTTTCTAATGAAGAGTAATAGAACAGTAGAGTTGGAAGGTGCCAAGAAGGCTGCCAGGTCCAACCCCCCGCTGTTGCAGGACACCAGTTTACATCATCCCACTCAGGTGACTGCTCAGGTTTGCCTTGAATGTTTCTAGTATGGGAGAACCCATGACCTCTCTACGCAACTGGTTCCTCTGTCATATTACTCTGGCAGTTAGGAAACTTTTCCTGATATCTAGCCTGACTCTGAGTTGTCACAGCTTGAGCTGTTTATTCCATTTCCTATGCTCTGGAATGAGTGAGAAGAGATCTTGTCCTTCCTTTTTATGACAGCCTTTCAGCTACTTAAAGTGATATCATGTCCCCTTTCAGCCTTCCCTTCTCAAAGCTGAACATACCCAGTTCTCTCTCTTTCTCCCCTCGTAGGGCAGTGTTTCCAAACTCTGGATCATTTTGGTTTCCCTTCTCTAGACCCTTTCTAATTTTTCAGTATCTTTGCTGAATCTTACTTCTTGTGATTTGGAAGTAATGCTTCTATTAATGCATCCCAAAATAGCATTTGCCCTTTTTGCAACAGCATCACATTGTTGGCTCATATTTAGTCTGTTATCCACAATAACTCCAAGGTTTTTTCTTGTTCAGTTCTGTTGAGCCACATCCTCCCCTTCTTGTATCGATGCATTTGGTTTCTTTTTCCTAGGTGGAGGACTTGGCATTTTCCCTACTGAATCCCATTTTGTTGCTTCAGAGCCTGAGTTGGTTTTTCCTCCCCTCTCAAATTCCTTTTATTGTTTATTAGACTCCTAGCCTAAGGGCAGGGAATTTTTATTTATTTATTTTTACTATTTGTAAAACCCCCAGAGAGTCTTTTTTGGCAGAGGAGTGGGGCAGAAATCCTTCAAAGAAGCAAATAGGGTGATATTTCAAATACTTCATGAATAAGCACCAAGCTTTGCATTTTGCCAATTTGCTACACCTACCCAGGAGAGGTTCTGCATATGCTTCTGCTGTATTTTTTTTTCCAAACAGGCAGTAAATATTTTGCTGTGTTGGTTGGCGATCTGTCTGACAGTTTAGGTGGCCCTTGCCCTGTCTTGGTTGGGGTCACACTTCCCCTAAAGATCGGTTCCACAGCTTGGGGGTACTCCTGGCCCAAAACTATCTTTGGAGTCGCAGGTGGACTTGCTTGCCAGGAATGCCTTTTTTTTTCTTTTTTCTTTTAGCTGCAGCGAATATGACAACTATGGCTTTATCTGAATAGACAGAACCTGACTATGTTACTCATGTGCCGGTAGCATCCCAACTGGACATAGGGCAGCCGTTAAGACAATCCAGAGATTTCAACTGGTCCAAAATAGGGTTGAGTATCGGTTCGTGAGCCCATATAACACCTATTCTGTATAAATCACACTGGTTGCCAGTTGAAGCCCAGGAAACCAATTGTTGTAACATATAAAACCCTGAAATGCTTGGGACCTGGGTAGCTGAAAGGTGGCCTCTCCCCACAGCTCAGCATCCATCTCTGCATGCTCCACTCTGGCCTCCATCACCAGCCTTTCCCTCCGTGGCCAAAATGCTCTCCTGCACCTTGCTCAGCAAAACACCTTCCGCCTTGCTAGAGCAGTGCTGTTGCTGCAGAGTGGCATGGGACCCCTTCAAAGCGCCACTCCAGAACCGGGCGGTGAGCAGGCCGGAGCGCCAAGTAGTGCTGCCTCCACAGCCTCTGCTGCTGGAGGTGGCGCAGCGTGATGCCCAGCTGCCAGTGGGGTCCTGTTGCCCCAGCTGGACTTCGGAGAGCTGCTCGCCAGCAGGGAGAATGGAGTGCGGAGACAGCCGAGCACTGTTTTGATGCCTGCAACTCAGTGGATGCCGGGCAGGCTGGGAGAGCAACAGGCGCTGCCTGGAGTGGCTCCTGCAGCCGCTGCTGCTCTTCCCACCAAACTCTCTGGGAAAAACATGGGGACCGTGCGCATACACGGCAACTTGGGGGTCACGTTTGAGCATAAGCAATTGTGAGACACAGAAACCTTAAAGCAGAGGGTTGGTTTTCCATGGGGTTTCATGGAAACCAAACGGAGCACGATGGATGCTGGATTCAGACGTAATGGCAAGCCATACCTGCACCACTTCCAGCATGGCTTGTCATTACACGGGAACACAGCCCATATTTGAGAGTTCTCCGCTTGTGCGGTCTAAGATTTGATGCCTGCAAAAATGGTCAAGAGATACCAACAAACTCCTAGCTGAGCAGACCAACAAACTCCTGTACACTTGGGCATGACAACAGGCGAAGTCTTATGTACCACAACTCTAACAGTGCCCAATAGTTGTCTTCCAAAAAACTATACAAAGAAAGCTAGCGTATAAGGTGCATGGTCTTCCATATCTATATACTAATGCCTGGAGTATGGGAAGCAAACGGCATGAACTTAAACTCTTAATACAGGAGGAGGGACATGACCTGATAGGTATAATGGAAACTTGGTGGGATGACTCCCATGACTGGAATTTAACAATTGTAGGATATAACCTGTTCAAGAAGAATAGAAGGAAGAGAAAGGGAGGTCGAGTCACACTATATTGTAAAGATATATATCTCTGCAGAGTAATGCAAGAGGATGAGTTTAGTAGTCTCATCAAGAGCATCTGGATTAACCTAAATGGAGCAAGGAATAAAAGGATCACAGTAGCTGGAGTCTATTACCGTCCATCCGATCAAGGAGAAGACACGGTTGAAACTCTTGAAGAGCCCATTGCCAGTGTTTCAAGGAGGCACGATGTCGTCGACTTGGGGAACTTCAATTTTCCTGATATCTGTCGGGAGACGAATTCTGCCAAACGCAGCCCCTCCAAGAGATTCCTACCACGTGTTGCTGATAACTTTCTCCAACAGAAAGTGGAGGAAGGAAATGGAGGGATGGGTCCGCTTGACTTGATACAAATCAACAGGGAAAGACTTGTGGACAAAGTGGCAGCTACAGGAACTCTGGGAGAAAGTGGCCACGCCATATTTAAATTCTTGATTCTAAAGGAAACAAAAACCAAACGTAGCCAAACGTGTACCCTGGATTTCAAGAAAGACACGTTTAATAAACTCAGAACAATGATAAGTGAAGTCGCATGGCAAGTGACTCTAATGGGGAAATGAGTCCAAGATAGGTGGGGATTTTTAAAAAAGGGAATTCTAAAGGCACAATTACAAACAATTCCAACAAGGGAGAAGAGTAGAAAATGACAGAAGAAGCCATATGACTACATAAAAAGCTTACAGATGACCTGAAAACAAAAAAGGACAGGTATAGGGAACGGAAAGAAGGACGGACTACAGAGGAAGAATGCAGACAGGTAGCACGGAGTTGCAGGAATGGTGTCAGGAAGGCTGAAGTTAGGAATGGATTGAGGAGAGCAAGAAATGCCAAAAGCAACAAGAAGCTTTCTTCAGATATGTCCAGAGCAAAAGCCAGAGCAAAGAAATGGGGTTCAGCTACTCCGTGTGGATGGCGAAATGGTAACGGATGGCAGAGAAAAGGCAGACGTGCTCAACTCGCACTTTGGCTCAGTCTTCTCCCGAAAGGAGATCCATGACCTTCCGAATGAAGGGAAGCACCAGCTGAAGGAACAGGATGCAGCTCAAGATGGACAGGAAAATGCGCAAGGATCATCTAACTGGGCTGAATGAGCGCATGGATCTCTCAAGAACAGCTCCTGCCAGGCTAATCCAATTGCATCTGGTCTGCCTTGGAGTCCCGCACATAGGATTTTATGGTGCTATGAAACTTGAAGCACTTGGGTGTCTCAGGAGAATCCCCCGCCATTCAAGGGGTGAATCCGGTTCTAGTATTATGAGAAAAATGTCTCCCTATCCACTTTCTCCACATTATGCCTAATTTTGTGCCCCTTTAGGACACCTCCCCCTACTTGCCTTCAACAAAAGAATCCCAGACATTATAATCTATCTAAAATTGCAGTGGTAAGGCTGATGGAAAAGTGGGTTTTAGGGCAGTGGCAGTGTCCCCAGCTGTGGATTTTGGATATTTTTCTCATGGGTCAGCATAGATAATGTCTGAATGTTTGTGCTGTGTCTGTGTTTTGTTTCTGTGACCCACCGATACCTTTCAAGATTAAGTGGCTTTGGTGACCTTAATCTTGGATGTATAATGTAATCTCTTGGATTCTGCAACACACACGCTCCTGCCAATCTCCTTTTTGTAAAACAAGTGCACTAAATGCAACCCCACAGCACTCACCCAGAAATCAATCGTAACAGTAATTAAATACTGATAATTTTAATCTTATATTTGTAAATCAATGTATTTTTTGTATTTTTGTATTTAATGGTAATTTATTATGTGCTATTGTATTTCAATGTATTTTATCGTGTTGTAAGGGGCGGCATAGAAATGTAATAATAATAATAATAATAATAATAATAATAATAATAATAATAATAATAAAAACAAAACACCCCTCAGCCGAGCTTGGGTTGAAGAAATTGTCCTGGGGCAAAGAGGTAGGAATCCGGCTCAGGTAGGAAATGCTATTACGCAGCCCCCACTCTCTCTGCAGGGGCTGGACAAGCACTTCCAGCTCGGCGAGTAGCGTGGAACCGGTTTGCGGTGCCTCGGCGGCAGCGGTGGGGCGGCCCGGGTCGTCCCCGGAGCATCCCTCCCGGCCCCCCGGCCCCTTCCGCACCTGGAGGGCCCGCCTCGCGAGCAGCACCTTTCGCGCGGCACCTCGCCCGGCCCACCTGGCTCAGCGAGGAGCCGCTCGGGCGACCCCGCTCCCCCAGCTGCGGCCGCCCAATCAGCGGCGCCGGTGATGGCAGCCAATCCGCGGGCTCGGAGGTGATGTCATGGCGAGAGCCTGGCAGCCGGGTGGATGCTGAGCGGGGCTTTTCGCGTCTCTCCCTGGAAGGCAGGCAGGCAGGCAGGCAGGAAGCGAGCGAGCGAGCGAGCGAGCAGCTGGGAGACGCAGGACCCGGCGCCGGGCTTGCGAGGGGTGAGTAGCGGCAGGCGCAGGGCAGGGCCCTCATCCCACGAGGAGCCGGGCGAGGAAGCGCCGCACGACTTGCGGAGGGGGGGAAGCGCCCTGTCCCGCGCAGAAGTTCCTTCCCGAGGGAGGAGGGGAAAGGGGGGCCCTCGGAGGCAGGGAGGGGCGCAGCTGGGAGGCGAGGCATGGCGAAGACGGTGCTGGGCCGGGACCCCCGCGCAGCCTCCGTCTCCTGGCTTTTGAAAGGCGGGGGGGGGGGGGGATTCCTTGAACGCTCCCATCCGCTCAAATGCCATTTTTTCTCCGCACAGTATTCTGTAATGAGGTCTGTTTCTGTGCCTCTGTATTACCATTCTCTGTCCACATCATGCTTGTTTTCTAGCGACCAGACTGATTTTCACCCATCTATTAATATTTCTCGTTGTTGTCGTCATCGCCGTCATCTGCGCACTGCCCCATAGCCAAAGCTCTTGGGGAGGTTTGTAATACCCATCATTTTCATCACCCATCGCATAGGCATTGAATGGGCACCCGATCCATGTGCATTTGTTCTCTCTCTCTCTCGCTCTCTCTCGCTCTCTCTCCCCGAGTCCTTTGCCCCTCCTCCCCTTTCCCCTCTCACCATTTAGTTTTGCTTGTGCCCAGCTGTGTTTCCGAACATTTTGCTTCTCGAGAACCGGCTGCCTTCGGTCCTCTGTCCGTGGACGTACAAAATCAGTCGCGCGATAAGGTCCCACTAGCACCATTGTTTCTCACGGCACGACATAACGTCTTGTGTCGGGAGCCGAAACGCCAGCCTGGTGAAGCTGGCCGGGAGCGAGGGCCGTGTTGCAGGGACACCACCGCACGAACCCGCGTTGCTTGGAAAGATGGGAGCAAGGCGGGGGGGGGGGGGTGCCAGCCCTCACTAGGCCTGGGCACCGTGTGCTGGAGCTGGGGCCGTGGGGGCGGGGCGGGGCGGGGCGGGGGGGGCACTTTCCGGACGCCGCCGCTGCTCCACCTTCTCTTTGCGAATCTGCAATGAACTCACCACGATGCGCCTTAACAATGAGCCGCCGCGGCTACTTGTCTGCCGCTGCTCTGTGGGCATACATGCCCCCTGTGCGCGCGCACATGCATGCGCAGCGAGGTATCTTGGCTAACGGTCGATGTCCTGAAAACCACAAATCTAACTTCCAGAAATTACTTACGTGTTGTTGGAAAAATATGAACAAAACACCTGCTGAAATCTCGGAAGCTGGAGCAGAGACTCCAAAAGCCCCAAGTTTCCTATGGCCAAGGGTGGGGCTTGTGTGCCCAGCAGCATTTCTTTTTGCCCGGAAAACCAAAAAGTACGAAAAAAATAAATAAGAGCAGTTAAGCAATTTGTTCCCATCCACATTATTTGACCAAGTCACCACTTTTCTTGGTGCAGAATCTGGATTACCTGGATAAACAATTATTTGGGGTGGGGAAATAGTTTGCCATGTCCACAATCTCAATAACAGGTCAAGAAAAATTGCTCTACTGACTTCTCAAGGTGTTCCACATCCTGTGACAGACAAATAGCCCTTTTATTCCACTTTGCAGTAGTTCTCCAGCCTTATAAGTGAAGTCCCTTCCCTCCACCATTACCTTGCCAAAAGGTACTCTTCTTCATTCTCAAAATCATTGTGTTCCTCCTCCTCCATTTCTATTCTGCCCCATAGACAAGGCAGTACATGCCAACAGTAAAATAAAAGAGATCTAAAGAATTAGAAACAGCTGAAACAGAAGGTGAAGAATGGTCCTGTGACAGAATGGTCCTGTGCCTGGGATGGGCAATCCCTTGAAGCTCCTTGACAGGCAATCAAGTGTACCCTTAACAACCTTGGCATAAAGAGCCGTCTTAACCTGGTGCCAAAAAAGGCTAATCTCGCCAGCAGCACCCCCGATTCCATTTTTTGAGGGAGGCAGACCTCCCCGAGCCCCGAGGCAGCTCCGCTTCTCCTGCGCTTCCACAGGCCAAAGCGACTTTGGCCGCCTGTCTCCCGCACAGCATGTGCCCTTCCAAAGAGCGTGTGCCATTCTGAGGGAAGCGCTGCATGAGGGCTAATAGTCATGAGGAGCCGGTTCGTCCAGCTCCAGAAGAGCCAGGCTGAATTCCCATGGCTCAGCTTCGGAACATGCGTAGCAGTGAGAGCAGAGCCGCTGCCGAGAGCATGCACAGAGCGCTTTCCCCGCAGCTTTAGGGGAAAGCATGCCAGTGCCGAGGTTGCACAGGCAGTCGCCAAACACGCGCTCCTTGGGAAGCCTCGCTTGGCTGTGGGTTCCTCGCCCGTCTTATGCCACTGAGCACATGTCTGTCTGTGGGTTCCACGCTTCTCCTTCGCCCACCTGCCCAGCCACAGCGTGGACGCTCCTTCCTCGTAGCTCGAAGCAGGAAGGCGCCTCTTGTGGCACACTAAAGCTCCGGCAGGCGTTTGCCTGTGGTGTAAAGCAGCCGCTGCTCTCTACCCCAGCTTTTGCTCTTCTGCAACTGCGGGCAATGTTAGAACGGCGGGGGGAGTGCCGGGGGGGGCCTCTTCCTTGGCTCATTGGATCCCTCCTTTTGCTTTCCCCGTGCTGGTGCCTTTCAGATGTGTTGGAATGCAACTTCCATTGCCTCCAGTTGGTCCACTGGGTAGGAATAATGGGAGCTGCACTTCATCCCAGCTTGGGGAAGGCTGCACTAGCGACCCCAAGGAAAGAGAAGCCCCCTTCTCCCTTTCGGTTCCTATCCACTGAAGCACAGGTTGAACCCTGCTCTGGCATGTTAAGGAGGCAGGGAGAGAGACCCTTCCCGAAATAAGCCCAATTATGGATAAAAAGCTCTCTTCCTGCTGAAGCATCTCTCCCTCTCCCTCCCTCCCTCCCTCCCTCCCAGCTGCTTTATATGCTGCCAAGGAAGGGTATTTTGAGCAGAAAGAACAGGCGGGGGTGAGTTTTCCTCTCCCTGATTCTGCCATTTAAAGATGGAGACCGACCATGTGATAAGGACCACTCCTCCATTTCCACCACTTTCCTGCAAAGTGCAGGAGGAATAGTTTGGGCGGGGGTGGGGTGGGGGAGTGGAAGAGTTGCTGGAGGAGAGAATGGACCTCCCCTTCCTTAGCGGTGGGCATCGATTTCATTCATTCTCTCCGATTGTACCGTGGGGGTATGTGGGGCTCTTCTTTTAACCCGGTATTGGCCATGTGCGTGGGAGCAACTAGTTTCAGAGAAGTGACAGAGAAATGAGGCGGATGCGGAGACACACACTCATGCGCGCACTGATGCTCTCCAGATCGCCCCTTGAGGTGCCTGCAAAGCAAGGTCTCCGGCATCCCCTCCCCTCCCTCCTCCTCCTCTCCTCCTCCTCCTCCTCCTCCCTGTTTGTTTTCAGCTTGAATGAGCTCATCCTATATTATGCAGGGCTGTGGTTTCCTCCCCCTCCCTTATTATTCAGCCCCAGAGCATCCCTGGCGAAAGGAGAGCAGCATCTCTTTGCCTGCCTCCCACCTGCATCAGTTTCTTCCTCCTCTCCAAACGCGCATCCCACCCCCCCACCCCCCCCCACCCCGCTGCCCCAGCTCTTAGTGTGGAAACCGCAGGAATCATCTGACCAGTGCAGGGAAGAGGGGCAGATCTCGGAAGCCAAGCCAAGGCTAAGCAGAGCTGCTGGCAGAGCCTCTGAGCACGTGATGGCAAAACAAAGGAAAGCACACCTGTCTGTCCGCACGGAGCAGCTGCAAACGGCTCGCCTTGGAGGGCCGGAAGAGTGCCGCTTTGGCACTTCAGCAGTGCGAATTAAGACTTGGGCGAAAATGTGCAGAGGGGAGGGTTTCCTGAACATCTCGGAGAGGGAAAAGTGTGCAGTGGAGAGAAACCACGCGTGCTTGGAGGGTAGATGTGTATGAAAGGAGCGCCATCTTCCAAGTGGGGTGGCAAGATTGCTTCTGAGAGCGTGTGTGTGCCGAGGGGCCTCCTCTCCCACCGCTGAGAAACCCCAGCCTGCTTCTGCACACCTGCGATCTAATAGCAGGGCTTCCTGCTTTTCTGTTTGAAATAGAACATCCAAGGTGGCTCCACCAAAGGAGAACCAAAAAGCATTTTAGGAAAAACAGCTCACCTGAGCACAGCAGGCGAGGTTTAGGGACAGAGCCTGTTTTCACTGGTACAGTTCAGGTCAGGAATGTGTGCAGGAGCCAGGAAGGAAACCCTGTTTCCAAGCATTTGCCACTCCTCTGAAGATATTTTTCTCACGCTTGGGAACGAGTGGGATCTCTTCCCCACACCATTACTAGGCTCAGCCCCACACCTCCCAGAAGTGTCCCCAGTCTCCCTGCAAACCGGAGTGCGATCATGCATTCAGCGAAGTAACACCGAACCCCATCCTTCAGGACACAGAGTTTGGTTGCCAAAACCAAACGAATGACTTTTCTGTGCTAATCTTGTGTGAGCGGCATTATTTATGTAAAATATTTCTTGGCTGCCTTTCAGTGCAGGGGTTCTGTCAAAGTTGCACACAACAGGAACACACAGGACTATTACTATATGTGTCTTGCACAGTGGCTGGGTTCAAACAACACAACAAGCCATGGCAGGGTTTTTTTACCATTGTTTGTTGCGTTATCTGAACCCAGATAAGAGATGTCTCCATGGTAAGTTTGGTCTTTAGAAACCACAATAAGAAGCAACAGTTTGTTCTATGGTTTCTCTGGACCACCATGGCTTGCTGTGTTGTCTGAACCTGGGATCGTGGTTTCCATGGTCCTGGTATGCAAATACCACAGAGTCCTCTGGAAAGAGTGGCAACCCCAGGAGCTACTCCAGCCATACAGTCTCTATGGGTGGACCAATGAGGAAGTGGCAGGTGACAGAGGCAGGGAGCGATGCACTTGGAGATGAATTTCAAGCACAGTGGCAGATGGGATATGTGCCAACAATGGGGGAACTCAGCAGGGAGGATGGAAACCATAATAAGGAGAGACCACTCGGTGTTCCCTGAGGCAGTTCATGGTAAAAAAGGCAGTCCATGGTAATCGTGCAAGGTCGCTCGCTCGCTCGTTGTGTAAATGCAGCCGATGGTCTCGGGCGCGATGTGAGACATGCATAAGTGGATCCAAGGCCAGGCCACTTTTCGCAAACGGTGCTAATACTTTTTCCGCACCTGGTATGTGGCTCTCATGCCTGTTGCTGATGCAGTTGAGAATGTGGGCAAACGCCAAAGGGAAAACAAGGGCACGTTTGTGGATGTGGGTCTTTTGTTTGCCGTGTGGGCAAGTCACTTGAAAAGGGGTCGAGAGCTCCGTCCACCCACACAACTCCTGGCCGGGAAGTTTCTGTGCAGCTGCAGCTTGCCGGCACTTATGTAACCAGTGAGGGGGAAGATTCCTGGCATTTGACAGAAGTAGTATCAGATGGGGAGGTAATGAATGCTGGGAGGCCTGATCCTCCGGAGCGTCTCCCGCGGAACATGGAGGTGGTCTTGCCAAGGGGAAGGCTTGGAAAGCAAACACCACCTAACTCTGTCATCCCTTCCAGCCACCCAACCGCCACCTCTTCCAGGACCTGCTTCTCTCCCAGCACCAAATGTCAGGGCAGAGTTAGGAAAGGGAGGCTGGTGAATGACGGGCTGGGACTTTCCATCTCTAGCTGTAATTTGGCAATCCCAAGAAGCTTGTTTAGGACACGTCCAACATTTCTGTTGCCTCAGAACCAGTAAGATCGTTGAAATTTACCCGGGAGCCAAGATACCACACATGTTCTTCACTGCCACGTATACACGGAATACCTTGCATTTGGGACCTTCAAAATAAGCGCTCAAGTTCGTAGAACATCAAATACCACATAGGAGAGCTGATTCTGAACCTACATGCCGAAGTCATTGACTATATGCTACAAATGCTGTTAAGCAGGATGTGGAACGTTTGGCTTCGGTGCCAATATTCTGAATATAAGTTGCCACCGATCAGGCAAACTTTTCTGTTTCCTGCACACCAGATGCATAGAAAACTCAGCTGTTCTGCACAATGTGGGCAGGAGAGGGGGTCGGTTGCTCCAAAAAGAAAAATAGTCCCCTTGAGAGTCCTTCCCTTCTCTCCCCCGTGACATTTTGCTGTGCTTCTCTGCCATTCCCTTTCTGAGCAAGATGGCAGCCCGGTGGCCCCAGACACCTCCGATTCCTTAACACCCAGTGACTTAACGCCTTCTCAGCTGAGCAGCGGTGACACTGAGCCGCTCCCATCGCTTGGGCCTCTTTCCCTTGCAGGTTGCTCAAAGTGCCGATCCAAACCGTCAGGTGCTGCTGAGTCAACCGTTATTTCAGTGCTTCTCATGGGGCCTCTTTGCCACTGTAAGGAGCTGCGGCACCCGAATCGGATGCTTTTCCACGGTGAACACAGTGCTGTATCCTGGCATGAGAACATTGCTACTGCTGTTCTCACTTCACCTGCCCAACAGCCGAAGTTGCTGCACTGAGTGGGGGCTGGATCTGATGACCCTCTGCCCTCCGCCCACCGCACGCTCCTCTCCTGTGATTCCAGGGTAGCCCTGCAAGGAGTATGTTGTGGCAATCCAGTTTAGAGACCGCCAGAACACTGACTGCTGGATTGAGTAGGATGAGAGAGAGTTCCGTATTCCTGCTCCTTCTCATTGCCAGAGCTCAGGCGCAGGGCATGAAAACTCACAATGAAGAGCGTTTCTAAACATCTGCCAGATGTGCATGAAACCTCGCTGCCCTCACTGCACCTTTTTCACAAGGGAGGGGAATTTTCCAAGCTGGGGAGACAAGCTTTAGTGGACAAATGGCAGGAGGGGAAATGGATCTTCACTTATTCGCGTCCCGCCATGTTTCCTCCAAGGAACCCGGGCAGATCGCAGAATCCTCATTCTCCTCCTCTCCTCTGTATCCCCGCAGCAACCCTGTGAGGTGGGCTAGGCCAAGAGCCAGGCAGTGGTCCAGAGTCACCTGAGCAGCCTCGCGGCTGAGTGGGGGCCAGAGCCTGGATCTCCTGAGTCCCAGTCCAACCTTCTCACCACAAACTCTCAGTAGCTTTCAAAGGGTTCAGGGGCTGAGACCCTGCTGCAGTTTTGCTTCTGGTAAAAGTTTTCAGAGACCCTATAAATGGTTGAGAAAACAAGGAATGTTGCGCACCTGCTACTTTGGCCTGCACACCCAGAATAAAGACCAGGGCTTTCTGCTATGTATCGCTATTTGTTTAAAATATATACCAGCATCCACTACCAAATCACAGGGTGGTGCGGAAAATCCATTGAAACGGCAGTTAAAATAAAATTCAATGCCATGATTAAAAAAGTATACCAAAATATGTCAGCCCTCTGCACAACTGAGGACCAGCTGGGTTGAACCAGCCCTGTTGCAACAAGCACCCATATTCCATGGAATCGTAGAAGAGCAGACTCGGAAGGGCCATGGAGGCCATCTGGTCCACCCCCTGCTGGTGCAGGACACCAGTTCACACCATCCCACTCAGGTGGCTGCCCAGTTTCGCCCTGAATGTCTCCAGTGCGGGAGAGCCCCCCACCTCTCCGGGCAGCTGGTCCCACTGGCATATTGCTCTGACCGTGAGGAGCTTTTCCTGATGTCCAGCCTCAATTTGGGTTGTCGCAGCTTGATTATTCCTTGTCCTACATTCTGGCATCAGTGAGAAGAGATCTTGGCCTTCCTCCTTGGGGCAGCCTTGGAGGGACTTCTAGAGGGAGATCTTGTCCCCGCACAAGCAAAGCTGACCAGCGCGCCCAGCAGCAGTTGTGGGAGCACGGGCTGGGCCTCCCTTGGCGCATCAGTCGCCGCATCAGTCGGGATTGCAGGTGAAGGAGGTACCTGGCTGGGTGGAGTCCCTGTGGTGGAATCTGGAGGGCAGGTGGGGATGCTGAGGTTTACTGTGGCTGTGCCTGTGGCGCAGGGATGGAGCAGATTCCCCAACCCGGAGCCCCTCCC